CCAGCCAAATACCAAGAATCATCAGCAAATTACCATAAAATAGCACTTGTTTAATTAGCATTTTATGCTCCTAAAGCCATAGCTTCATTCCATCTTCCCATATATGGACCTTATAATTATAATCTTTGCTTTATTAAATTCTTAATTTTATTGGGAACAGTAAATTGCTTAAAATTTTCATCAAAAGTCATAGTGTCTATAATTTCACGATTCCATTTTCTCATTGAATAATGTATTAAATCTATTGGTTAAATAACAGTGGATGCAGCACTTGAAATATTAAGATCTAGACATGCTTATTATAATGCCTTATTATTAAAGCCATGATTTATGGCATGTATAAGACTTAAGTTAAATAGTTTGTTTCTAATATCACAAAAATGGAATTTAGCTATGAATTTATACATAAATAATAATTAAATATTTTGTAAATTAAGAGATTATTAAAAATGTTTATTTTATTACAAAATCTTCAGATTTTTATAATATTATACTCTAATTAAGATAATTTCAATAATTATAACCTAATGAATTTGTATAATAGATAAAATGATAAATATTATAAATTAAAAAAGTTCATTTTTTTTGATATAGTCTTATTGGTTATAAAGGAGTTTCTCTTTTACTCTTGGATAAATCAAATAAATGGATAGAAGTAGTGACTTGATTAAAATTAAAATCAATGAAATTATTTACTTTTTATTAGATATGTTTCTATTTGAAAGTGCTGTTAAGATAATTTTCTATACTGAATTACATTTTCTTATTAATTTCTTAAGATGTAAGCAATAAACTCTTATTGATTTCCTTCAAATCTTCATTACCAGATGATTCTAAGTCTTTCATAAAACTTTCACTAGAATCATGATTTGCATGATTTTGTTTAATTATAGGACTTTAATGATGTGAAAGTTGTTTTTTGCGTGTAAAAGGACATTTTAATTTCTTGACTTTGAAATCATTTATTTTAGGTTATGGAGAACAATTTGGTAATTTGAGATGCATTCTAGGTGTGTACTTAGGTTGTGTATTATTGCGAGATGTATAAATTTAATAGATTTGCTTATGTCGAGCATTGCAAATCAAAGTGGAGTTATTCATTATAATAATAATCAAGCGAAATAGAGATGTGCAGTTGTTGTGAAATCGAATTTTTTGAATCTATGTTAAGGTGTCTTAGGTCCTGTACTAATCGTAGTAGTTTGTGTACGAATTCTAAATTTCTATTATGATGGTGAGTTTCCTCTAGAAACTGAACGGACTATGTGATGTAGTTCTGCATTAGTAAGAAAAGTAGATTCACACATCTCATTTAATTTGATCTTTAGATCTAATACTTCTTTGTCTTTCTTATAAAAATAAAGAGCTTTTCTCAACTTTATAGTAGACACTACTCTTTAGGGAGTTAATTATTTTGATTTCATTAATTTTAATGCTGAATCATTTTAATTGTAATAATGAACTTAAGATCAATAAGCTAATCAATTATATAGTCTGTAAAATCATTTATTCTTTCCCTAATAAAACATAAATTCATTTGAACATATGTATTTCAATATTATTTCACTATAAGTATAAATAATATATTTTGGAAAACTACATATTATTGTAAAATAAGATATGTTTTAATTTCATATATTAGAATTCTTATATCATATCATAAATAATATGTAATCAATAATAGAATTTATTTATTCTTAAAACTCTAATATAAAGCCAAAACAATAATTATGATTATCATTAATTATAATATAATACTTTTAGGATGATAAATAAATGTTAATGTTAAGAGTACTTTATTTAAAATTGAAATTTATATGTATGTGATAATAATATTACTTAAAAGACAATTTATAATTCATAATCTTTTTAAAAAATATTGAAACATTGACAAGAAAAGCAATAAAAATCCTATATGAAATTATGAAGTTATATTTATCATGAAATTTTGATCCATTTAGTTAGAATAAATAATAATGCATCTATCATTATTGGTTTAGATAAGAAATCATGAAAGGGTAATTTCATAATATCCTTTCTATTTTCTTAATGCATATCTCCCATTAATGCAATAATTTTAAGTTCTACTTTAAATTTGTTATATATCTCTTTGATTTCAGTGAATAATAAAAATAAATCTTCATCATATTATTCTACTCCTATGAATAATAATTCTAAGCCTTTACAACAATGTTAAATTCTACTTAAATGTTTATTTAGACTATTGATAATAATTTATCTTTATGTTATATATTCATAAAGAATTCCAAGATTATCAAGTTAATGTGACATTGCATATAAATCTAAATCTAAACTTTCACATATTAATATTTTAGGACACTTTAATAATATTATATATTTATACTTAACAATTAAATTAAAATTTTTACATTTTAAGTTTTTCCATTTTTTCAAAACAATCCAATAAATCATTTGGTTACATACTTCCACTAGAATAACCCAATGATGAATATATTGAAGATCTACCTTATACAAAACCTCCAAATGTTAATTATTGAGAAGGTTGTGAATTCAAAATTTCTTATCTCTTTTTATCTTCATTTATATAATCAAAAAAGTATGGTTCTGCTAATGCCATTTAGTCTACTTTAATTGATAATCCCATCCTTGATTCAATAGATATAGCATCATCTTCTTATAAATCAGATTCATTTTAATCAGATTCAATTAATTTCTCTTTAATTCCAACATATGTAGGAATTACATTCTTCTTTATTTATTTATGATCCAATTTATCATTTGAACTTGGTAATTCAGACAAGACTCTTTATAGTCCTTCTTTATTAACAAATAATTAATGAAAGGTTTTTTAATTTTATATAACTGATAGTCTTTTTTGTGTTAATAATTCATTAAATTATGTATTTAGATTTTAAACTTTAATAATAAATTAAAGACTTTCTTAATTTTCAATTCTTTCATAATCATATTCAAAAGGAATAGAAGATAAATATTTAGTTAAATAAAAAGCTATTAATATAGATTATGAATATTATTTTAATTTTGATAATTCTATGACTTTAGATTATAAAGATTAAGATTTAAAAAACCTTACTGTTTTATTTATCATTTTTAATATCTAAAAATTAGTTTCATAAGCATTAACTTTAATAATGATATCAATATGATCAGAATTTGATGAACACTTTCTCACTAATAGTATTATTTTACCATTAATAGTAGCTTATATAGTAGTAACTAATAAATCAATTAAAATTTATCTTAATCTATTTGGATCAGTTCTAATAAATTAATTAACTTTTTATTCAATAGTTACAATTAATTTTAGACCTCTAAATGTAGCTTAAGATTTAACTACATTAACTACATCAGATATAAATGAATGTATTTAAATATCAATTAATACTAATTCTAATTTGCTTCTTTTCAATAATTAAGCATAATCCAAAATATCATTTGCAGTATTAATTAATAATTTACAACCTGCCAAAGCTGGATTTATGTATTTTTCTCTTATATCTACTGGAATAGTATTCTAAAATCATATTAATATTACTTATTACCATTATTATTTCTAACATAGATATAGTACTATTTAATGGTTATCTTATTTTTTATGAAATATCACTAATTAAATAATCATCATTATTTCTATTATTTTCAAAAAGTTATGAAATTTCAAGTTCATTAGTAATATCTGATATAAATAGTATTTAATATAGTTTTTATTTATGTACCAAAGGAGATAGTACTATTTATAAATGAAAATTATCATATTTAATATATGTTTTAATTGAAAAGTCTACCATACTTTGATTTTTAGAATATTTAAGATGATTAAAAGCCATTAAATTATCTAATAAATATTTTAAAGATATATTCTTGCCAAAAAGTTATAATCTTTGAATTGGATGTATCTATTTATCAAATTAATAAAATGGAACTCAATTATATATTATCATATTTTACTCTAAAGTTTAGCTAAATTTCAAGAATTATTCAATATCATTACTTCTATGAAATTTAGGAATGATCAAATAGTTTTCATCACCATTTATACTATATTCAATAATCTAAGATTCAAATAATTTTTAATTCAATTTATCATTAATTAAAATCAAATTACTTAAAATTGGATTAATTATTTATGTTTATTGGAATGAATTATCAATTATATAAATTCCTTAATCAAAATTAGATAATAAAACTTCATATAATTAATCTTATTAAATAGATTCTGTTAAATTATCATCTATTTTTAAATCTTATGGATTACTAGAGTGATTTTTCTTGTCTAATATTTCAACACAAAATTATGTTTAAGCTTATTTTGGACTTAAAACTCTATTTGAATATATTTATGAATAATTAATATTATTATTTGCACTCATTGCTATTAATTATGCATTAGAATAGCTTTTATTATTTCTTTGACTTTACTTAATAATGTAAATTTATAGTATAATGTGCATAATAATAAATCTAATTGCAAATGATATATTATTCTTTGAATCAAACTTAAAATGTCTAGTAAGACTATATATTAGATTAAATAAAAGTGCAAATGTTTAACATATTTAAGATTCAATTGCAAATACAAAACAAAGTACAATAAAAAATTATTCTAACATTGATTAGTTTATTGTTTTCTATATATTAATATCCAATTCTTCCCAACATATGATTACACATATACATTTTAATAATGTTATTAAATTTATTAATCTATTTTTTATTTTTAATAATTTTATCAATAGCACATGAAAGAATGCTATCAAGAAGATTTGTGTCTAATATTATAATATATTTTACCAAAATTCGATAAATTAATATAAATTTTTCACCCTAAATATTTTCTGTTATAGCTTCTCCTGCAATTATCATTGCATCACTTAATTAATATATTGCTATTAGAATCATTAATCTTCTCCAAGATTCAATATTCTTTAGATTTTCTGAACAAATCACAAAATAATCTTTTAAATTATATTACATAAATTAATAATAATTTAATCTAATCATTCTTTCTGAGAGCTTTATTTGTAATTTTCTAAAGAAATTAATCTATGAAATCTTTTTCCATCTAATTCTTTTATTTTTCTAAAAACACTTTAATCTTCATCTATTGAATCCAATTATGCTTAGGTTTCTTATTCCTCTATAATCACATTTACATTATAATGATATTATTTCATCATTTATAAATGAGGATAAACTACATCTTTCTCTGTATAACCACAAGCATTCAATAATTTACGAAAAAGCTATTTATATTTTTCATAATCTTATGGATAATCACTAAAAGATGATTATTTAACTCCATTATAATATTAAATAAATTCTAAAGGTGCTCCTTTAAATGATAGTTCTGGTAGTAGAGTTAATTTAATTTATTCCAACTTTTTTATTTTAAGTCCTTTATTCTCTTCTTTGATATCTAAGATCGAAGCAAATCCTCCATAATATAGTATGATTAAGGCTAGAGACTCGAGATCATCTTTAGGTGAAGAAACTAAATTCTATTATATATTATAATTACCTTATTCTAAATGTTGATTTAGACTTGAAAATTTATTTAGAAATCGTTTATTAGAAGAACTACGTAAAGTATCATTAACAATGATATTATTTTATTGTTTCCTATATCTACAAGCATACTTAAAATCAGTCAATAATATTTCCAAACCACTTTAAGAGATTAATAATTTCTTTGGTCTAATATTCCTATGTATAATTTATTGTTTATGAATTTACTCTAAACAAGTAATCTATTATACTTATAAATATATACAGTTTATATTGCTATCAAACATAATATTGTAATAGGAATATTTTTGGATAAGTAATTGTAAAGTAATTTTAAAGAAGGACCATGACGTTCCATAACTTAATAATGATAGAGTTATTCTTTAATTATTTATTCACCTATTGACAGAATTCTTGTAGTACATTTACCTATATAAAAATTTTACTTTACTGTCTTTTAGTTTATTCAAGAAATACTACTCAAAATTCTGTTCTGAGGCATTAGTTCTTATATAAATGGAATTGGCTACCTACGCATTTTGATCAATACAAACTTGGTTTAATCATCAGAACAATCTCTTTTTACAGCTAGCTAGGCTTTCAATCTCTACCTATGTATAAATTGTAGGTGTTTCCCTTATAAATATTTTTCACTATTATGTATTCATTATCAATTACAACATAATTAGGGATTTCATTTGTTGATCTAGTTTATGAAGTATTTAACATTTTTAATTTAATATATATATATAATATATTATATTATTATTTACTTTTTATTTAATTAAGAATGATTTAGTAAATGTTTAATATATAAAGTAATATGAAATTTAAAATAAAAATTCATTATTGAATTTGTTCATTTATGGTTTCAAAATTTTAGAGGGTATTTTGTAATTAATTAAAATGTTAGATTTTTCAGATGACTCCTATTCTTTTTAAATTTAACCTGTTAATTAAAGAAAGAAGAATATTAAACTATTAGTTAAATTGATGAAACATCACAAAATTGCTAAATTGAATCAAACTATTACACTTGATAGAAGTTTAGACTAATTATATGAAAATTATAAAAATATTAATACATAGGCTGAAGAAATAGTAGAAGTTCAATAAATTCTAAGTGCTGTTTATAATAAAGGACATATAAGTAGATAAATAACAAAAGATAAGAAATTAAAATTTAGTTAAAAAATAAATTAAGAGAAATTGAGATAAGATGATAGTATTGAAGAAAGTGAAGATGATGAAGTAGAAGTAAATAAAAAAATAAAAAATGAAATTAAACAGAAATTATTATACTTAATAATAAATAAAGTTCCATTACCTTTTATATTAAATTTTATAGAATTTTAGAAAAAAAAAGAATAATTAGTAAAATTAAAAATAAGATGTGAAGATTCTTTATTAGATTCATTAAATTTTACATTAATTAAAGATCATAGAAATGAAGAAGAATTAATTTAAAATTTAAAATGTATTTAAATTATTAAAATGAAAGAACTTTTAATGATGAGTTTAGAATAATTAGAAAAAAGTAAAGAAAATATATTAACTGAATTAAATGAAATGTTTCTTGATTTAAAATCATGTAAAACATAATTAATGAAAAAACTTGAATTTTTCTAATAATATGATGATAGTTTAGATCCATAAATTAATAAATTATTAGGAATAATTAGAAATCTTATTAATTTTTGTAAATCTAAATCATCATTAAATGGTTAATTTGATAAATCAGTATTAATGCCTAGAAAAAATGGTTTAAGATGGCTACAAAAGATTATTATGTTAAATTGTTGGGTATCTTAAATATCATTTCCAGAAATATTAATATATATTTAAATGAAAGGAGATTTAGATAAAAATAAATCTAATCCAAAAAGATAATGTGTTATATAATTATCAAAAAAACTTGATTTCCTTAGAAAAATATATAATATTCCAGAAGTAAGAAAAAAGTGTTGGGATTAAAAAGTTGTATTAATGGATTAAAGTAAACGAACACCTAGTTATATTCTCTAAGAATACAATTTGCATTTACATCAATTACATAAAAATCTATTTTATGATAAATTGTATTTGGATAATATGCAAGATTATGTTTTAGAATCATAATTAAGAATGTTAGTTTAAAGATTTTAATAATAGAAATATCAAATTTTTGAAGCATATTAAGATTTAAGATGTTAAATCAATATGATACCAATTAATATATTATATAAGGATTATTTGGAATGGTATAAATATGATATTGAATAATTATCAAGATTAGATTATATAAAACATGCTAAAGATGTGATTGTTGTTTGTCTAATTAAACATTTAGGTATGCTTTTAAGAAAGGAGAATATATTTAAATCTGAATCAGAAATAATCAGATTCCATTTTGATAATAGATTCTCTTATTCAATATATTATAAAGAGAAAGACAAAGGAGATATGTATTAATGTAACAAATATTTCTATATTAAAATATTGTTATGTGATTTTATAGCAATGGATTAACCATTTCCATATTTATTTAAATACTTAACTTTAAGACTTGAAAAGGTTGAATCAAATAATTCAGAAGAGATTTTGGCTTAATTAATAAGTGAGAAAAATATAAGGAATTATTTAATGACTAAATATAATTTAAAAATTGGATTAGAATAAACAGGAAATCGAATAATTATTACAAGTATTCCACTTTCATTTGATGATATCACAAGAGAATTATATTATATACCATGGGAATATGTTGTAACCTCTTCTTTATCCATTATATATAGATATAGAAATTATTTAAAAAATGAAATCATATAAATGATTACAAGCAGAGAATATTAAGATTATAAATCAAATTTAAAAGTAGACACAAGACTATATATATAATAATCAGAAATTATAACAAAACTGGAAAATATATAAAAAGATTTGTAAAAATGAATAAACTGTTTTATATTTATTAAAAAACTAAATTTATGTTATATTTTAATTATAAATTAATAATAATGTAATATCTTTATTTATGAATTAAAATGGTTGATATTATATTTGATTGTTTTTTCTATATCAATCCATTTATAATTAGTAATTAGGATTATTGTAACTTTCTAAGTTTTTCTATTAATTTTCAATAGATAAAATAATTGACTTATATTGATANACTTGATTTCCTTAGAAAAATATATAATATTCCAGAAGTAAGAAAAAAGTGTTGGGATTAAAAAGTTGTATTAATGGATTAAAGTAAACGAACACCTAGTTATATTCTCTAAGAATACAATTTGCATTTACATCAATTACATAAAAATCTATTTTATGATAAATTGTATTTGGATAATATGCAAGATTATGTTTTAGAATCATAATTAAGAATGTTAGTTTAAAGATTTTAATAATAGAAATATCAAATTTTTGAAGCATATTAAGATTTAAGATGTTAAATCAATATGATACCAATTAATATATTATATAAGGATTATTTGGAATGGTATAAATATGATATTGAATAATTATCAAGATTAGATTATATAAAACATGCTAAAGATGTGATTGTTGTTTGTCTAATTAAACATTTAGGTATGCTTTTAAGAAAGGAGAATATATTTAAATCTGAATCAGAAATAATCAGATTCCATTTTGATAATAGATTCTCTTATTCAATATATTATAAAGAGAAAGACAAAGGAGATATGTATTAATGTAACAAATATTTCTATATTAAAATATTGTTATGTGATTTTATAGCAATGGATTAACCATTTCCATATTTATTTAAATACTTAACTTTAAGACTTGAAAAGGTTGAATCAAATAATTCAGAAGAGATTTTGGCTTAATTAATAAGTGAGAAAAATATAAGGAATTATTTAATGACTAAATATAATTTAAAAATTGGATTAGAATAAACAGGAAATCGAATAATTATTACAAGTATTCCACTTTCATTTGATGATATCACAAGAGAATTATATTATATACCATGGGAATATGTTGTAACCTCTTCTTTATCCATTATATATAGATATAGAAATTATTTAAAAAATGAAATCATATAAATGATTACAAGCAGAGAATATTAAGATTATAAATCAAATTTAAAAGTAGACACAAGACTATATATATAATAATCAGAAATTATAACAAAACTGGAAAATATATAAAAAGATTTGTAAAAATGAATAAACTGTTTTATATTTATTAAAAAACTAAATTTATGTTATATTTTAATTATAAATTAATAATAATGTAATATCTTTATTTATGAATTAAAATGGTTGATATTATATTTGATTGTTTTTTCTATATCAATCCATTTATAATTAGTAATTAGGATTATTGTAACTTTCTAAGTTTTTCTATTAATTTTCAATAGATAAAATAATTGACTTATATTGATATAAGTAATAATCGATTGAATTATTAATCATTCATTAATTTAATCATCCATAACAATTATAAAATCTAATAATTATTAAGATTATTTTAATATTTATAACCTTAAATATATTTCACAACTTAATTATATATCATATACATAATCTAACATCATAATATTTAAAGTAAATAAATCATTATTGAAGTATTTATTTATATTAGATCAAAATCTTAGGCTATGTCTTATTGATTTAGATAATGTAAATAGAAATTAATTAACAAATATAATAAATATTGTTATAATAATTAGCAGATTTAATATCAAATGGATTACAATATGAAATTTGTAGAATTATTAAAGAAACATGAAAATCATTAAATGATACTTCAAGTGGCATTGGATGTGATGCTTCAAGAGAAAAATTACAAAAATCAACTGACAAAATATAGGGATGAATTGAGGAGAGAAGATAAAATTTTAGTGACCAAATGCACTAAAGCCTTAAAAGAATTAGCTATGAGATCATAGTAAGATTAAACGAAAGCATTAGAGAAAATAAGTAAAATTGACTAATAGATTATGCTATATCTAAAAGATTAAGTATTACCTATCATTCACTTTGATAGGAAGTTAAATAATTACACTTTTATAAAGTATTACACAGATCCAGGTATAATATTTAATGTTATTATAGAAAATTCAATCAATCCATAAGAAACTATAATTGAAACACAACATAAAGAAAATACAAATTTAGAATCATTTGAGGCTGATTTTTCTAAGTTAGAATGGAAATTGGAAATTACTTTGTCTAGCATTAAGATGAGAAAAGTAATCTTTAATTATGAGTCATAATTAGGTTATTCGACCATTAATTCTTTTAATATTCCATACAAAAAAAGGAATTAAGAAAACTATGTATTTAGATTACAATCAATTCTAAGAGTTCAGAAAGAATGTTGCCTTAGTTTTAAGATAAATCCATATTATTGAGAGTATATAAAGTAATTTTTGAATTGATTATTTTAATTAATTAATGCTTCAGGAGGTAACAATTCCTTGTGGAAAATATGATTACAATCCAGAAACAAAGAAAGTATCTATTGTAAAAGCAAAAGGATTACTAACTTTATGTTTGAATGAAGAAAATGAATTATAGTTGAAATGGTATAATTTGGATTAAGATAGTAAATTAGAAATTGTATTAATTTATATTAAATAAATAAGGAAAGATTCTTGATTAAAGGATTTACATTTTTTGAAAAAGTTAAAGGTTAAAACAGAGTATATCTTCTTAGATTTACAGATGATGATTAAAAATATTTTTTTTGGATGCAAGTATTCATTAATACAATCTATTTAAAATTAGTCTGAAGATTAAAGTTTAGATGAAAACTATTGTAAACAATTTAACAATGTTATAAATGCTTAAGTATTAGATGATCCTATTGAAATTGAATAATAACCTCCAGTTCAAACTTAATCATAATCACATTCACAACCTGTACAATAATAAATGGATCAATAATAATAATAACTTTTACAATTACTCCAATAATAATTGGCATAGAAAGTTGGTCCAGGACTTTCATTGACTGATCTACTTAATAGTGAATTTTTAACATAAATTTCAAATGATTAAGAATACTTTGAGGCTTTAAAAGAGTAATTTATATTGTTATTTTAGATATTTACCTCCTGATTAATAAAATCTTGAATAATTTAGACAAAATTTATTGAGTCCTTAATTTAAATAGGCATTAGATTAATTGACTCATGCTTTAAAGGGTAGAGAAAGGAGTTCTGTTATTTAATAATTAGATTTAGATTACAGAGTATTAGAATAAGAATTTGATGGAGTGATAGCTTTTGTTAAAGCAATTATTAGAAAGGCTTAAAATAAAAATTGATATTATAGAAATTTATAAAAGGATTAATAAATTCTTATTTAAATCATTAAAGATTTTTTTCTAATTGCTATTAAAATTAATATTTTTATTATGATATTTCTTCAATTATAATTTTGTCTAATTATAATAATTATTTTTTCTTAAATTTAGATTCAATTAATTTCAACTTCCTACTTTTTATTTAATTTATCATCTTATATGGTTTGTGACAGATTCATTTAATTAACTTATGATTTTATATAAAGATAATCTAAAAAAAAATATATATAAATGAATACATCTGAAAAGATATCAGTCCCTATCTAAAATTTAATTAATTAAAAATCTTAATAAATACTGTCCAATTGAAATTCTTTCCAATTATATATTTATTGTATGATATCTATTTCCTAAATATATTAAGCTATTTCTAACAATTCTCCTTATAAAAGATCTATTATTATTATTATTCAGAGAATAACTCCTAATAGTATTGATTTAGAGAATGTATGTATAAAAAGTTATTCTAATTTTTTAAATGGAATCATTATAATTAATGTCTGATTTATATAAAATTAATAAAAAAATATCACAAGGTGCATTTGGAACTGTTTATGAAGGCATCAATGTGAAAACTGGAGAAATAGTAGCTATTAAACAATTGTTTTGTAATAAGAAAGTACTAAGAGAAGTTCATTTACATGAAAAGATGAATCATAAAAATGTTATCAAAGTTTACTAATATTAAGTTCTCGATTAATAATGTTCAATTTATATGGAATATTGTTAATATGATTTACACTAATTTATATCAAGCACTCTCTATCCTTTAGATGTTGAAGTAATAAGAAATATTGCATATCAAATTCTATGTGGGATAGAACATATCCATTCACGCTAAGTTGTTCATCGAGATCTCAAACCATCTAATATTATGCTTCATGAGGGAATCATTAAAATTGGAGATTTTGGTTCAGCAGAACATTTGAGTAAATTGGATCAAAATGGATAATATTCAACTGAAGGTTTCTCTAAATGGTATATGGCACCAGAAATGTTATTTGGTAAAAGAGATTATGGAACTGAGGTAGATATTTGGTCATTTGGATGTATTTACGCTGAATTACTCACAGGATTACCATTATTTACTGGAAAAGGCGAAATTGATTAAATCATTCATATAGGTAATGTTTTAGGTTCACCTACTGAAGATAATTGGCCTAAAGTAAAAGAATTACCAGATTAAGGAAAGATTAAGTATTAAATTAATTAATTTTAGCTTTTAACATGTAAGACCCAAGTCATTCTTTGAATATTTTGATTTAGCAGATGATGATTAAATTAATTTTCTTTAATCAACATTAAAATATTAAGACCGTCCTACTGCATCTGAATTATTAAAACACAAATATTTTAATAAGATAAATGAAAACTTCAAAATTAATGCTGAATGTCTTCCTAAAGAATAATATAATCCTTATTATAAATATATTTGAAATATATATATATAAATCAATTATGAACTATTTAAATTTATTGAATTAAAATAATAAAAAGCAAAACATTAAATAAAAACACACTCAAACTTAATCAAATTCATTTTGAAGCAAAAAATCATTCTTTTAATTCTTTTTTATAAATTTATTAAATTTGAGAATTAATTAATTAATTAATATCAAAATACTAAGGAAGACAATATTTATTTTTTTATTAGATTTTATTATTAATGGAAAAATGTCAAATTTTATAACTTATTTATTTTATCAAATTAATTAAATAATATATCTTATATTTATTTAATAGAAAGAATCTAAAAGTTATCAAAAAACAGTAATTCCATTATATAATTTATGAATTAAAGTTTGAAGAAATAATAATATTTAAAAATAGATTCAATAAAATAAATAATATTCAAGATCATCATCATATACAGTTAGTTATAAAGATGATCAACAAATAAAAAAATAAAAATTTCTTATAGTTAATTATTATTGAGAAAAAAGATTTAGAAAATAAACGATGTTATGTTATTATTTTCAAAGATATATTTAATTTAAAATATAATAATTGATTAAATAAGATATAAAATGATAGGTAAATCAAAATTCTTGACTTTTTTCAGATGCCTAATTAGATTATTAATTGAATACCTTAAATTGTTAATCCGATCTTTCAGTTCCTTTTTAACTCTCTTCTTCTGGAATTAAAGGAGTATTAAGCTACACTTGGGATGTTTTAATAATTGTAGTTGCAGTTAAGACTTTTGTTGCTGTATTTTCACCAGAAGAGTATGACTTTTTGATTTCAGCATCATTAAATTTTTCTAATAATTCTTAATTCTTTTTATTTAATTATTCTTATGTTTTCTCATATTATTTTTTTGCAGAAGCTAATTAGATCTATAAATCTTCATTTTCTCTTTTCAAAGCATTAATTTAATCATTTTTTGTACTTAATTAGGCTTACACATCTAATAAATCATGGGATACTTTTGAATAATCTTTAGTTAATTAATCAATTTTTTTATTTAATTCATCTTATTCACTTCTTCTTTTTTTCATTAAATTATCAGTCTATAAAAGTTCTTAATCTTTAAGTTCAATATCTTAATTTAATTTATCTATTTATCTTTCTAATTGTTTTTTTTCAGTACCAAATTTAATTTGTTTTTATTCTAATAAATGTAATTCATCTGTTTATTCATTATACTTTTTTTATAATAATGTATATTCTTCATTTGAAATATAATCTTTATTAAGTTAATTTTTAAGTGATTCAATTTCTTTTGATTTTTCATCTAATAAATCTTCTAATTCTCTTCTCTCTTTAAGTAGTTGATTCTATCTTAATTATAGAGTTTCTAATTCTATTTCTAAGACTCTTATCTTATCTTAAGCAGCATTCTAATAATAATACTTAATAAATTACTAATTCTGCTTAATATTTCAAATCTGATTCCTTTCTCTCATATTCTATTGTTTAATAATATTCCAATTTTGTGTTAGTCTCTTCTACATATTGATTAAATTACTCTCTTAAATCTTCATACTTTTATTATTAATCTTCAACTTCTTTTTCTTTATTTTAACTTTTCTCTTATAAACTTTAAACTTATTCTTACAATGTTTCTCTCATACTTTAATATTCACTTTATCTTTGTTAAGTAGTATCCATAAGTTATTTTAAATTTGTAATTTCTTGAACATATTAATGTTCCCTTCTTCTAAATTCATCTTAACTTTATTATGTAATTAATTCTTATTAACGAACTCTATTATTAGTAGTGTCTAATTCACTAAGATACTATTATAATTCTTATTCTCTTTAATTAATTTGTTATTTTAATTATTATATTTTATTTTCCAATCCAAGTTCTTTCTTTACAAATTAAGCCCTATCACTTTCATTCTATTATTTCTGATCTTCAATTTCTTAATTAATTTACTAATTCTATTCTCTTAATTCTGATATAATTTAATCAAATTACTCAATTTTCTATTTATATACAGTCAATTGAGAGCTTATACTATTTTTCTCATTTTAAAGTTATTATAATTGAAATTCTTTTTATTATAATTTCTAATATAATTCTTATCTTTCTTATTCCTTATTAAATTCTTATTATATTTATTAAGTTTCAAAATCATTTAATTTTTATTTAAATTATTTAATTTATTATTCTAAAAGACTTTTTTCATTTGTTAATTTATTTAGAGATATATGTTATTCTCTTTAAAGATTTTCGATTTCACTTTAATATTAATTTATTTCTTAAACTTTAAGTTTTTCTAAATTTTCTAATTTCAATGTCAATCCATCAATTTCTCCTTATTTTTGAGATACATTTAATTTTTATTAATGTACTATTTCATCTTTTTATTTCATAATTAATTCTTATTATTAATTTTAATTTTTTAATTCATTAATTAGATCCTATAATTATTTAATTTCATATTATTATTTTAATTTTTAATTTTTGAGATCATCTTCATATTCAATTAAAAATTACTTTTGAATTTCTTAAGATTAAGATCTAACAAGATCAATTTCAGTTTTAAAATCATTAATAATTTAATTTAATCTTTAAATCTCATTCTATTAATTTTAGTTTTTTTATTAAGTTTCAAATTACAATTATTTAAATTTTTAGAATTCATTTTAATATTCTTATAATTCACTTTCTTTAATTCTTTTATAATGTTCATGATCTTAAATAAAAATTCTTAATTCAGATTCAATGGCTTATTACTTTTATTGTAATTATCGATTCTCTTCATTCTTTAAATTAATCTTTCCTTCAAATTCTATCAATCTTTAATTTAAAGATCTTATTTGAGATTCATAATTCAATTTATCTGCCTAAAATTTAATAGTTACTTCCTTAACTTCCCTCTCTACTTATGATTTTTTCATATATTCATAATGAGATTTTAATTCATTAAGTGTATTTTAATGATTTTTATCTTATTACATTTATCTATCTCTTTGTGAATCTGATTCTCTCAAAAATTCTAGTTACTATACTTTACTTTCTTCTAAAAATCTTTATAATTTAGCATTCTCATCAAATAATTTATCTTTCTCAATCTTTAAATCATTCAATTTAATATTCTAATAATTTAATTCATTCATTTATTATTCAAATTAATTTAATAATCTATTATATTTTTATTATTCCTATTATAATAAATCATTCAATCTAGCAATATTGTTACCATGTTAAACTTAAATTTCTTTTATCTATAATTCATAATTAATACGAATAGAACTATCAGTAGCAAGTTTTAATTCCTCTTAATCCCTTACATTCTTAGCTTAAAGTTCTTTAATATATTATCTTAAATTATCTATTTCTATAGTTTTTGAATCATTTGATTATTTTAATATTCCCATATCTTTTTGTTATTGAAACATCTTTTTAATAATTATTATAATCATACTTTAGATTCTAAATCAAAATACTTTTGTTCCAATCTTAATAATTCTTAAGTTGATGCATTAATTTCTTCATTTTTGTTTTATATTAACAATTTATGCTATTATATATTCATTATTTCTGTTTGTAACTTTTATTCTAAACATTTAGTTTGTAACTCAAAATCAATAATTATTTAGTTGTATTTTTATTGATCTGAAAATAATTGACTTTATAATTATCCATTCTCTTGACTTAACTTCATTAATCGAACTTCATATGAATCTAACAATTTATGGTTCTCATTCTTTTAAAATTAAGGAGAAATATCTCTTTAGTAAGTTGACTTTATTATAGGAGAATACGAGGTTTCAGCTTATAATAATATTATGAAATTATACTTTTTTCATTTTTTTGAGATATGCTTGATTTTGCTATGTCATAGGAACTCTTTATTCGTGATCTATTTTCACTTTATAATGATATTGATAATAAATTTACGAAGAAATTGGACTATCTTTTTGACAGAGTTATCTCACTTATTCATCATTTTTAACATGATGTGCAGGTTGATTGTTAGGTACATTCGAATTATCAATCTCTTATTTTTGACGAGATTACTACAAAGGAGCTTAATTAGAAGTAGGCCATTTATTATTCATTTAACAGAAATATGATTGAAATTTGTTGTTAAATTATTAATTATATCTCTGCTTATGAAATCAACCACATAGACTTTCAGTATTCTCTAAACAAAGAATACTTTAATATACTGTATAGAGGAACTAGACTAAATATCAATCTAAAGTAATATTGTAGAATAATGCAATTTATATCTATATCTAGATAATTACATCAAAATAAAAAACTTTTTATATAGATTATCTGATTTTCATAAATTATATCTTTGTATGAACTAAAATATAAATTATATTTTATCTTAACTACATAATTTTAAACTTATATATACATAATTTATTATTAAAGTTGATAAACCATTTATTTTACTTTAAGATATAACACAAATATTACTATAATATATATATAAATCTACATTATTATAATATTCATAATTATATCTATAAAATAAGAATCAATATATGATTTAAACATACTCTATAATAATGAAATATTGTTTATTTATATTTAAATATCACTTTTTTTTCATAATAGATTTAACTTTATTTTTAACAGTGGTTATTGACTATTTATTTTCTGTTTATAGTCTATATATTTCTTAATTATTTTAGTATTATTTTCTTTTATTATTTTATGGATCATCCAACTTCATTTTTTATTATTAAAATGGATAAATTTTCTCGAAATTTTATAAAAGAACTTTAGTAATATCTGATTTAGTTGATTATGAATTAGTATGATGAAATACTCTTTATTTTAAAGGAGATTTTTTTGGTTATGTTTTTAATTTATTACTTATATTATTTGAATAAACTTGAATTAATTGTTAATTCTTTTTAGAAGGAGATCCATCATTTTGAAAAGTATGTTGATTTGATGATTGTATTGGAAAGTGTTTTACATAATTAATTAATTTATCTTAATTATATCCATTTAAATTAATTTAACTAAGACGTATCTATTCAGTATTTAATTATTCAGATGAAATACTTCTAGTGCTAGTAATAAAATGTGTTTTGTTTCGTTTTCCTTAAGTATTAATATAATAGTTTTAATCTATTTCATTTTTATTTTTGAAAATATTTTGAATTTTAATTTTATTTTATTGAGATAATTTTAAGATTTTTTGTTTCATTATAGATTTAAATTCACACTCTTCTTGACTACTATTGATGTGTTATTGAGATGAGGATTTTTATGTAGGATTAATCCTTTCTGGAGATTGATTTTATGAATTTCGAATATTTGATAAAGTTTTTCCTTTTAATAGTTGAATGGGTAGATTTAATCTTATCTTTTCTCTTGAATGATTTTAAACAAGTTTTTTAAGTAATTTAATATTTTATGGTGCATAATTCTTATTTAATTATGGAATCCTTAATTCATATTATTACATAGTCAACCATGTTTCATCAATATTCTATTGAAAATAATCTACAAATTATTTACAATCTAACAATCATTGGTTTAAATTTTAAAAAACTCATTTAAAATAGACTTAGTGGATTGTTCAGTAAATTTTGTTAAACTATTTAAAACTTATATGTCTTAATTCATTTTTTCATATTCTAATGTTTTTATGCGAATATTTTTGTACATGTACTCTAACTAGATTAATCACAAGGTATTCCGAGCATTTTCTTAATTCTTCTATATTCAAATCTTCTATTGAATATTTATTAACAATTTTATATACTTTTTCTTCTCATAAAATGATATAGCTATTTCAGCTAAGACTCCAAAAAACATTCTTGGCAGGTTTTAATGATATTTATAGTAATCTAACAAGGATTTTAATTTTTGGGGCTATTGGTTACTTGGATAGTATCTTTATATAATGAAAAAATATATATACCTTTTCAAGTATTCATCATCATCTTGAAAATGCAAATAATCTTTAAATTCAATTATCCACTTGGCTGGTATTTGAGCAAAAAAGTCTTCAAAATTTTTGGACTTTTTTGATGAATATTTAGTGTACAATGCCTGTTCATTGTTTAATTATTGATACACTATTGATTAATTATGGATAAATATGTTTAGCATTTGAAGTTCCATTAATTTTTAAACAATACTGATACTGCCTCTTATTCATAACTGATTATAATAAATTTTGTATAAAATATATTAAAATCAATTACTTCCTTTGACTCTAGTTATTGGCCTTTCCAAAAGAGCATATGTTTAAACTTACCTAGTACCCTAAATAATAGAATAAAATCAATTATACTTTCTCTTCATTTTTGTAACCAGCAGATTATTTTTGACCAAATTCAGTATAATATTTTCCACTGAATTTTTCCATCAACTACATGTCTCTGTAAAAAAGAACAACAGTTTGATTTCCATCATTGCCTGCTTATCTTAGATACCCCTTAAATATAAATTATAAATTATACTCTATAAATAATATAATCGTCAAGACTAATTGCTATTTCATGTACTCCTCTTGTAGGAGTTTTAGTGTAATTCCAAAAGATAATACAACCTAGAGCAAAAGGTTGTTCTGAACCAAAATAGAGAGTATTAATTTGAGGATCTTAAGAATGATCAAAACATCTATTAGTGAATGGAGCTAACCACATATGAGTATCATTTTGAGTTTCATTAATTCCATCCAAGAGATTTTCCACTACTCTTTTATCTCCTCTCATTGATTAAAGAATTCTAACAGATGATGGTTCTGCTCCTATATTACCTTAAACCTATCTGCCTTTATAATCTAGAATTTCTAAACCATTCAATCCAATATAATGGATATCGCCAAAAGTAGTTATCAATTATATCTTTAATTCATATCCAACCATTAAATTATTGATTTCATATTCACATCTTAATTATTTTTATACTTAAATTGTTTCTTCAAATATATATTCTTTACAAGGTATCGTTATTGTTTAAGCATAATCATAGGTTTCACAACCAGGAGCTCTTTTCAATCCAACACAATTAGAAATAATTCCTTAATCACTTTATAAACTGATGAATTTAGCACCTCTAAAAGTATCTTCATAAGATTTATTATAATTCCAAATTCTAATTGAAGTAATTAATTATGGGATGTCAAATGTAAATGTTAAAGTGACACACATTCCAGGCTAAAAGGGTAGAATATACATATTCATATCATTAGTTGTAACATTAATACCATTTATGAGACTCATTATATTACCTTTGTCTCCATCATTTTAGTAATCTGATTTAATATTTTTTACTTATATTTTTCCCTCCTTACCTAAATAGATAAATAAATCAATACCATAAATATCTACTCCAGTCAATCCAATATATGGTTGATCTGCCCAAGGTCTTAATAATTTGATTTATAAATATCTACAAATTATACCATTTGAATTTTAATTAACTAATGCTCTTTATATTTATTATTTTTCTTGTCTCTATTAATTTTACTCTTATTATCTAGCTTATTTAACTAAATCATTATTATTTTATATTACTTTCATTCTAAAGACTAGTCACTTTGGCTGATGTTGTTGGTCTCACTTCTAAATCTGCATTACCTGTATTTGGTCTTTCATTTTAATAATCATGTTATATTGTTTAAAATTCCTAAGTGTTTATCCAATCATTTTTAGCAATTTATTAAATGATATTTTCATCACTTGTGAATAAAAATAACTCAAAAGGTTATTCATTCTAATTTATAACTCTTTATAAATTCATGTTTCCGAAACCCTTCTTTATATCTCCTTTAAATACGATTTGATTATCAAAAAATAAACTTATATCTTTGGCTCCTCTAAAACTATGGATTCTGCTCTTATTATAATTCCATATTCTAATCATACTAATTTTCTTCTTATCAATAAGATCTATTGTAATCTTATTAATTTTCCCTCTTTAAAACGGACTCAACCAAACATGCATATCAGATTAAGTATAATATACACCATCAACTAATTTATCTGGTGTTCTAGGATCATTGAAATATTCTGGTAACACATTAATGTCACTAGGATCAGCCTTGACTTAGTTGTAAGGATCTGAAATCTCAATTTATTTTCCTTATTCATTAAATATTTCTATTCCATTTAAACCGACATAATATTTATCTCCCCAAGTGGAATGTATGTGAATTGTAATTACTTTTACTTATGGAAGATTAGGCAAAGAAACTTACTTCTTAGCCTTTTTTATTGGAACCTAATTAATTAATGGTTAATTAAGTAATTCTTTAATGAGTTATGCATTTTCTTATGTTTATTACCGATAATTATTTCTATTTGGTTATTAGATGATTTATGAAGGAATCTATTATTAAGAAGGGGTTTCCCATTTTGATAATTGAGGTTTTTACTAAATATTATTTGGTCGTTATTATCCTTTGAAGAAAAAGTCTAAAGCATCAATTTCTTCATATTTTGGTAAGGGTGAAGGATCTTCAATAATATCTTATCTTTAAACAGGTTTTAATCTGCCTTATTATGTTATATTAAAATATTGAAGAGTTTCTTCAAGATAATCTTATGTTGGTTATGGATTATCTCTTCTTCTTCTGGGTTCTATAATTTGTTATTGATTTGATTAATTATTATTCTATTACTATGTTTATTCAATCTTTTTATCAGTTTTCCCAGTATCTAATCGTTCCCCTTTGAATACATCTACTACTATGGGTCCTTTGCCTTTTCTTGAAGGAGGAGGTTTAGAATCTTCTAATTTTTCTTATTTTTTTTCAATAATATCTGATTGATCAATTTAACCTCTGAGTTTTTGTGCAAATTTAGATTGTGTGTTTTACAAATTTTAGAATTTAAAAGTATCAATAATTTAAATTTCAGTTCCATAATCATCAATTTCAAAACCAGTACCTTTTTTAATTTCCACAATTTTAGAAATGACTTTTCCATTTTATCTACATAATATTTCCATATCTCTTACTCCTTTAACACTATCAATCAAACTTTTATTATAGTTATAAACTTTGATTCCTCCAAGTATAACATCATCATCATATGAGATTTCAATATCAATAGTTTTTGGAGGATCAGGCATACTTCCTAACCACATATTAACAGCATCTTTTGTTAAGAATTTCCCATTGATTAAGATTTCTGGTAATTTGAGAGATTAAGCATTACTCATTTTAATATTATATGGTTTAAGTTACACTTTATTACCGTCTATAGTATACAGTTCTATTTCAGTAAGACCTACTAGACTTGGATTACCCCATGTGGAGAGAATTCTCATTTTTAACTATGAATTCTTATCAATCAATAAATCAGTATTTTTTTCCAATATTATTTATGCTTTTTCTTCTTTAACAAAATCTTATTACATTTAAATAATGTTATTTATGCTTTTATTTCTTTTCTTAGTTTCAATTTATGGAATTTATAGAGCTGGTTAATTGTTAGTGGATATTTATTGAGGGAGAGGTAATTGAATTTACTCTTTGGGTTTATTTTCAATAATTTATAACTCTTTTTATTATTTTTATTATTTGATAGGAATTTCAAGTGATAGTTTTTACTAGTTCTATTCATTTGATATTTCAGATCTGTCAGTCTTATCTTCCTAATTAATAGTATTTTTATTCAAAAATAAAATGAGCTTTTATTTCTCATTACTAGAAAGCTTTTCAATTTTTTCAAACAACTCTTCAAGTTGATCCTTTTACTTTTCTTAAGGTTTTTAACTTTATGAGGTTTAAGGAATTTTGAAAGAAGGATTATCATTTTTGATATCATCTTGTTTAGTTACAGAATTAGCCCTCAATTGAGGTTTAGATGCATATTACTTGATTTCTGGTTTATTCAAAGGGAGAGGTTTAATTTCAGTGGAAGGTTATCTAACTTATTAAGGTAATTGTTATTAAGATTATGCTTATTCTGAAATGGCACTGATTGGTCTAGGTTTGGTAGCAGGTAAATTGACAACTTGTATAACTTTTTAAGGCTATGATTATTAAACAACTGGTTGGATTTAAGGTTTAGTGTTTTCAAAGTCATCCCTATAGACTTCTTCTTCATAGTCTTCACCTTCAGACTAACACAACTTGGTTATTCAAATTTTTATTTACTTCTTCTTCTTCTTATATTTATTGTTCTACCAATTCATCATTATCACTATCCAATAGTTGTGAAAAATGAGGGTCATATCTATGATCAATGGGTGTGTCTTTCTGCAATTTTTCAAGCAAATCCTATTAAGATTTGCTGAGCACATTACCTGAATTAATGATGCCCAATACCTTACACTAATGACTTCCTCAAGACCTCTAAATCATCTTGATCAAGAGTGCCTATCTTCTAGGATTGACTCTATTCATCATTCCATTTCTTAACACTCCTAGTTTTCAACTTCAATTGGTTTTTGTTCTTCTAATTAACCCTATCCTTGTTAGCCCCTGAGATAAAAGTATCAAACCCTTTCTCCCGTAATTGTTATTATTATTTCTTTTATTATGGTTTCATTTTATGTTCTTATTTATTATTTATAGATTAAATTTTATATGATGTCTAACAAATTACTCAAGAGTGAATTCTTGAAATCATAGATTAAGTACATTCCCTCTCTTATCATATAACTACAATTAACTTAGAAATTATTTCACAAGCTTTTCAATTGCCAAATAAATCTATTACTACTCCATCTAGAAGATTTATCTGATCAACTAATATACTTTACTTTCTAAATCATAGATGCCTTAGAATAAGATGTCTTCATTAGATCAGTCCCCTAATAACAATCATCTATCTATTAGTTTGCGATTCCCCAATCAATGGAAAATCAAACTACTTTGATAATTAAGCATACACAACATGAATTCTAGATCGAAATCTATTCAAAATAATCAAATCACTGGTCACTCTCTACTCTTAATCAATGAAATCAAAAATATTTAACAAATTCAATATTCTTGCACTCATCCATGAATACTTGTATAAAATCTATTTCAATTTTATTATATATATCAAACCCAAATATCTAATTGGTAAATAGCTACTCTATTAATTGATAACTTCAAACTCATAGAATTATTGGCCTTGCATTTTCTATATATTATCAATATGTTGAAAGTGCTAAATTAATTCTTAACTTTATGGCTTTAACATTTATTACGCTCTTAAAATAAAATCAAAAAATTTACAATTAGAAAATCTTATCATAAGAATTACAGTTTTGTATTCTTACTTAATTTCTTAATAGTTTTTATGAAACTTAATTGAAGATAGGGTAAATCTTATGGATAGACTTTGCTAAACCTCTAAAATCTTTCAAAATTCACCTGACATTCCAAAATCAGAATCATTTTTTCATACTTTATGGTATTACCAATTTGAACTAATGTACTCAACTAAAAATTACATGATATAACTTATGATTGTCCCTTAAATCTTTATCAAAATATAAAAAACAAGTTTGAGGTGTTTAAAAGAGTTTGTTATTAATGTCTATTAATAATAAATTGTTTTGAATATTGATGAGGAGTAATTGAAAATAAAAATAAATTCAAAATATATTGAATTAAGTTAAATGAATTATAATGTCAATAATTTAAATAATTGGATTTTCAAAATGAAAATATTGATATTATTTTAATATGATGAGTTTCATTATAATAATTTTGAATATGATTTCTACTTGAATATAGAAAAAGAATAAAAATAAATATTTGAGTAATATTGTTTATAATTAAATATATTAAATAATAAAAATGTCCCAAGAACCTAGAGCATAAACTGTTGGAGCATTTGATAATAAAGCTAGTTCAATTGTGCCATTATCATAATTAAGAAGAATCCAATAAAATTGTTTTGGTACGTAGGAAAATTTTGGATTAATCTAAAAGATGGAACTGTAATTATATGATTAACTGAGATAGACATGCTAAATCACAGGAAAGAGTAAAGAGATGGCCCAACACAATTAATGCTTTAAGAAAGAAGAAAGATCAAACTAGATTTGAAAGATTCAAAGCTGATGAAGAGGAGAGAAGGAGACAAGAAGAAGAAGAAGCATTATATTAAGCATAAGTCAAACAAGAGATATTGGAGAAAGCTAATCGTTAGATATATGAAGCAAATCCAAGAGTGAGATAATTTCAAAGCAAATTATTGATCACTGATGTTATATAGGAAAGAGATGCACAAGTAGAATTGAATAAATATAAGAAAACTATCTTGGAGTATATACATTATTCAATCTATTCTTAGGATGAAGGAAGAAGCTCATCATGAAGAGGTTTTAGAGAATGTAGCTCGATTATAATAGATAGAGGAAATTAAATAAGAAGAAATGAAGAAAAAGAAAATGGAATAAAGAAAAATATTGAAATAGTAACATGATGAAATGGTTAATAATCATATCAAATAAATATAAAATGATAGAATTGAAGGTTAATTAAATAAGGCTAAGGCAGAGTAATTAATAAAAGATGAAGAAGAAGCTGAAAATGAAAGAAAAAGGAAGAGATTAGCTAATATAGAAGAGGTTAAGAGAGGCAATGAGGAATTAAAAGAATAAAAATAACTTTAAAAAATTAAGGAATTAGAGGATGATGAAAGAATAAGAGTTTATGCAGAGAAGAAGGAAAAAATAATGGAAATGAGAAAAAAGAGAGAAGAACTTAAATTTAAAGAAAAATAAGAATAGAGATAAAGATTGATTGATGCTTAAATAGCTAAATTAGAATCTATTGAACATGAACATTAAAGAATATTAAATAAATAGATTTAAGAAGCAGAAATAAAAGCAGAAGAAGTAGAAAGAATAAAAAGAGAAAAATAAATTTAATTGAAAAAGAAAATAGATGAAAGTAGAAAGATTACTTCAGAATTTAGAACCAAAGATTCAGAATAAAGAGTAAAAAATGATAAAGAATTCTAAGAATATTGGAAATAAAGAGCTGAAGAATTAAAGAAAATGGAAGATGATGAAAATGAATAAATTAGATAAAGAAGAGTTTAACTTAAAAATTTTTAGCTTTCTTAAATTGAAGAAAAACAAGTATTTTTTATTATTTATAAATTTACAATAGAAATTAAGAGAATAATAGATACTTTAAGAAATAGATGAAGCTGAAGAAATACTAAGAAAAAAAGAATGTTGTAGCAGAACATTTACATCATGGGCTTAAAGAGCAGTTGAGGAATGGTAAAGTAATGGTAAAAATGTATATCCAATGCTTAAAGAACTTACAGCTAAATAATAATGATGACTATAATAATTTGTTTTATATTATTTATAGTAGATAATATAATGAATAGTATTATTCTTCTATTTTTACTATTCATTATATATACTTAAGATTAACTTTAACAAGAAGAAGCTATTTAGATTGTAAAGGATCTTAAAGATGCAATTATAAAAAGGGTAGACCTATTATTATTTATATATTAATATAAAATAGAATAATAATTCAATAATTTTCATCACCCAATATTTCCCTTCTTTTTTCTTTAGCTAAACTATTCATAAATTCGACCAAATTACTACTTAAGAACATATTCTTTTGCTTTTCAGAAAATTGTTTAATAATATTATAACAATAATTTTAGAACTAAAATTAAATTATAATTTATAATTACCCCTTATTATTATAAAAATGTGAAGAACTCCAATAAATTTTCCTTACATTTTAAATGAACATCTGGATGATAAATCAATTATAGCATCTTTTAAAATATATCATTAGAATTATCCAAAACTTATTATTAAATTGTTTAAAACATAAAGAATTTTTATAAGATTACCTAGGCTAATGAACATAAATCTTCATTTGACAAAGCCAAAAATAAAAGCCTTTTGGTATTCTCAAATATTTTAAGCCAAATTTCACCATCAGATTCCAATAATTATTTATGTAAACATCCATAAATAATTTCTAAATGTTCATGTTTAAAAAATTATAAGTCTTTTTCTTTAACATAAACATCCATAGCTTAGGCAATACCAACACTATTCCAATCAATAGGTGCTCCAGTTATCTTGTATCGAAATGAATTACAACCATTTACAACTTATTAAATTAATGTTTCTTGTGTATTTAAAACAGTAATTCTAATTTCAGAATCAACTGATAATAGAATCTCTAAATATCTAGGACACAATTCTGAATACATCTACAAAACAGGAGCAAGATAAATTAATCCAATTCTAATTACATTTGGAGTTGTTGAAACAACAAATACTTAATAAATTAAATCCAATAATAATTATTTTGATTATTCAAAATCTATTGTGATTTCTTATTCATCCATACTTCTATTTGAATTTTAAGCAATTTATAATAATAAATCAGCACAAATACACATACCTTAAGCTCTAACTTCCCACCATGAATCATTCATCAATCTTTGAATTCTATTGATCTTTTAAAGAACAGGAAAGTAATCCCAACTAGATATCTAATTGATAATTCTTAAACCATTAGCTCTTGTAAGAGGAGAAGGTGAATCTAATGAATTAAATGCATAATTGAGAAAAAATCTATACAATTCTTCATCTTGACTTGGGTAATCAGATTATATCAAAATACTTAATATAAGAGTGAATGCATTAAGATCAGTAGATAATTTGCTTTTAATACTTTTTAATAATTGTGTTCTATTCACACAATTAATAGGTGTGAATACAAAAAATAGTTAAACAATATCTTCCCTCTTCTTTGGATTTCTTAATGCAATTTACAATAGTTAATCTAATAAAATACTTTCAAACATCATTTATGTATCATTTGGATCTATTTCTACAAGTTTTGAGCCTATAAATCTTATTAATTCTAGAATGTATTGATATGTTTTTGATGTAGGTTTCAAAACTTGAATAGGTCTTAGAAATATTTAAAAGAATCTTTTAAAATCTAAATTATCATATTATGATAATACCTATAAAATTACTCTAAACTTATTCTAGAATTAATTGTGAATGAACATCTATAAATTATGTTAGTAGAAGTTTCAATGATTTTTTTTAAACTTCATCACATCTTAAGAATAGCTATTAGATTACAGCTGTATATTGAACATTTTGATTACTGACTTAATAACCATTATTTTATTAGGATTCTTTAGGTTCAAATTTTAAATCTTAGATATCTTTTTTAATAGGATCTTTTTTAAATAAGGAAGCACATGCTTCATGTAAGAAATCAATAACACCTTTAGTCTCTAATAATTAACCTTATTATTCCTTTGCTTTTTTACTAGTACTACTATGATAACAATTAATTTAAATTTCTTTAACATCCTATCCAGTTTATGAAATTGATTAATCTAAATTAACAAGTTTTTTATTAAATTTCATTTATTTTTTTAGTAATTCTTCTTCTTATTTTTTAATTTCTTCTTCAATTTATTTTTTTCTTTTCAGAATAAGATATTCAATGATGTTATCATCTTTTTTATCATTTCTGACTTTTTCAACATGTTCTTCAATAGCTTATTTAGTTAACATTTTCCTTTAATTTTCATCAATAACTCTAGTAATTTCTCTATCTTTTATTATTGTATTTGCAGTAGGTCTTGCATATGTAGGTTAGAGACTTAATGGCTTTGTTCTTTACAAAGTTGCTTGTTATTTAACTTGTTTTTTCATGTCTCTATTGTCTTTATCAGGATAAATGGTGCCTATTTTCTTTTTAGTTAAGAATTCATAAAGTTTAAAGAGAAATGCTTATGCTGCATCTGGAGCTTAATGAAAAATGGGTTCATATTCTTCTTATGGAACTTGAAGTTCTTTTTTCTTCAATAACTTTGAAATCTATTCCCAATTATCACGCTTTTTATCCAGATTTTATTCATTATATACAGTGTAGATATTAACTTCTTTTGGGTAATACCTTGATAATATTTCAGCCACGATGAAACTACTGTAGGATATGATCATACCCATTAGCCAAATCTCTCCTGAAATTACGAACCTAATAGGCCAAATCTAATGAATCTAACCATTTGGCTACTTCTCTTGGAATAGGTCCTTAAGGTGGTTCAATCATTTTTACAATTAAATTAAATATTAAAATAATTAACAACGAAAAGAGTAAAAATTATATCTGGTAATCATTATCTAGAAAGGATAATCTTTTCTACTCGAGTACTCAATAAATTATTATTTACAAGTAATAGTTTGATACTCTTTGTATTAAGAATGAAATTATAGATTTCTAGAAAATATAATAAATTAAATATAATACCTTCCTCTTTGAATTATATTTTTTTTAAATTAATCCTTTATAAATTTAATTTCTAGATTTACAAAAGAGAATACCCATTGATTTCTAAACAACCTTCTAAATTAAGACTATGTAATTTATAAAGATTAGTTGTGATTATTTCTAAAGCTTCATTAGTCACAATATTTTCTTTGATTGAAAATGATTGCAAACTCTCAATCCTTTTCAAAGGACTACACTAAAATTTAATTATCATATTTAATTTACTTTAATAAGATCCAATTATGGATTACATCCTATATCCAATCTTTCTAACTTCTTTGAATGATTTCCTATAATTTCAAATACTTAATTAGTTAAACCATCACATTTTAAAAGCATTAAAGTTTTGAGTTCTTATACTTATTCTAATATGATTTTAATATTTTCATCCTTTAAATTACAATTACTTTAAATATTTATTAAACTTAATTATGAGCATTTTCCAATAACTTCAAAACCTTTACCAGTCATGAATTGACAACTTATCAATTGTATATATTAGAGTGATTTACTAAAAATTTAAAAATCAAATATTTTACTAGCTTTCTTTGCAAATACTATTCAAATCTTTGTCTGTTAAAAATACTGATGTATATTGTTTTTTTGGTTCTAATTTAAATAATTCTAATAGAGATCCTTATTATTGTGAATTGTCAGATAACATTGTTCTAAGTTCAGTTTTCTCCAAAAATGAACTTATTTTTTAACCTTTAATTATATCTCTAACTTTCTTTATGTGCTTCAATTGTTTACTAGATCTCTTCAACACAGTGGCAAGTTCCTTTTCGTTAAATCTCAAACAATTAAATTGTCAATATTACCTAGATGTCTCAAATTCCCTAAAGAAACTATAAGAGAAATAGATATCATTATAACAAATCATCCAGAACTTGCAGACTTAAGAACAAGTAGCACATTCTCTCAATTATAAAAATTTGTAAATCTAATACATTAGATTTTTTGGTAAAAATGGCCTTCTTAATAAGTAAAATTATATTACCACTTCTTTTGTTATAAGGAAGATTTCCTAATCCAATTGTCTAAATTATTAGAACATTTCTTTTTAGCATTAAGATTTTCTGTTTTACCTTAAATTTCTTAAGTAGGAGGAGTACAAAATAACATCTACCAAATATAAACTTTAAACCTTACAAAATCATTTAATTTAGTTCTTATAGGTGATTCTTGCTATTCTTTAGCTTTCTTTGAGAAAAACTTGGTTAACTAAGTTTATTTTTGCATAATTTAATTATATATTTTGGAGGTATATTAATTCTTATGCTTCATAAAATAGAAGAAAAACTAAAAGCAAGTTCTTCATATTTTATTGAATGTTTAATATTAATATAAAATTTCATTAAACTCTATTATTAATATTCTATGAGTCATATAATGTTATCTAATATGAAAAATAATTAATTATTCAAATATAATGTTTAGAGATATCATATGGAATTTGAATAACATCAAAGTCTATATGTAATAGCAAATCATCAGTTGAATTGAAATAGCTTAAAGTTAAACTTTTTATTTTAGAAAAATTTCAGATACAAAGAGTAACATAAGATATTAGATATGATTTAATGAATATGACTGTTTATATTATTATCTCATCTTAGGTATGATACATTATATTATATAATTAATGGATTAATAAATTTATGGATTAAGAACGAAAACGTCGTTGGATCTAAACTTAGTAATAGAAATTGGAAGATTTAAAATCAAGAAAGTTTATAGGGACTCATCATATGAGAACTGATAATATTAGATTGAGTCGTACAGAAAAATTAATTTAATTGAAATCCCCTACTATTTTGAAACACTAATAAACCTTAGCTATAGATGAATATATTTCAAAGGGGGATTGTAAATTGATCTTTTTGTAATAACAAGGTGAAGATGTGGGATTCAAAACATTCACAGAAATGATGAAAACAAATTCAAGTTGGATTAATAAAGTCGATCAATTAAACCCAAATGAATCTACTCTCAAGAATAGATTGCAATTTAATTATGTTTAAGCAAATACTTTTAAAAGTTCTCTTAATAAAAAATGGAATAGTACTGTCAATGAAGTTACTGAATTATTTCAGAAATAAGAAGAGTTAGTTTAGCTATAAAAAGTGAAGAAAGTGAAATTGAAGGTAAAAACTATTAAGTAAGAGGATGAAGAAGAGGAACAAGTTGACAATAATGAAAGACCATTTGAAAGTACAAATATCATAAAAGTGTTTTGGTTTAATATACAAATTAGTGAATGGAAACCACCTATAAGAGAAGGATGTACAGTTACATATATTCCATCTCTTAATAAGGCATATATGTATGGAGGTATAGGAAATGATTTGTTCAAAAATATGATATAATTAAATACTTAAACTTGGACTTGGAAGGATATAGGAATAGGTTTAGGTGAAGCTCCTTTAGAAGGAAGATTTGGACACACAGCTACATTTTATAAATAATAAATAATTATATATGGAGGTGAAAAAAAATATAATAATGCAATGAAAATGAGAGAATGTTATGGAGATGTTAGAATGTTTAATCCTTTAGATAAAATGTGGAATCTTATCAAAACATCAGGAGATTTGATAGAAGGTCGAAGAAATCATATAGCTTAAAGTATAGGAAAATATTTTGTTGTTTATGGAGGGATCAATTCATATGGGAAAATATTGAATGATGTATGTGCATTGAATATGGAGACGAATAAATGGTTTATAATGAATTTATTTCTAGGGCAGTACTTTAAGTAGAAAATTAATTTTAAGATGGAGTTTCAGATGCATCCTCTGTGGCATTATTTGGTGGGGAAGTTAAAATGGAAAATCCATATTTTAGTTATGAATGTAATAAGAAAAAAGGAAGATATCCACAAGTAAATTGTGAAGGAATTTATATTTATGGAGGTAGAATTTAAAATGGAGAAGCATCTAGTGATTTAAGAGTCATTCAATTTGGATTTAAACCCATAAGAATTATTAAGATAAAAACTAAAGTACTTTAATCTCCTAATGTAAGGGCTGTGCTCCAATAGCAAGATATTCTCATAGTATGAATTATTATTACCAATTTAATTCTTTGATTGTCTATGGAGGTAGAAATGATTCAAAGGAAGGTAATATTCTAAATGATTTATTTGTTTTATAATTGTAATAATTGAATTGGATAATGGTATAATAGATTGGATCATTGAAACATGGTAAGTGTAGTCATTGTAGTATATCAATTGATTCTAAAATCCTCATTTTTGGAGGATATACCTAAAATGTATATGCAAATGCTGATATACAATTAATAGAATTAGATTAGAATAGAGTGACAAAAATGGCCAAAGAGAATAAAATTAATAATTAGTTAACTATTACAAGTACAGAATTATTAACAAATGCAAATCTCAGATTATTTAAGACTGAATATTTTCATGAAACATAAGAACGTGATCCTATGGATTCTAAGAGAACTTTTGATAATACTGCAAGATTGAGCACTCTACATCTCAAAACATATATGCCTCTTCCAATAGGGAATAATTCATAATTGATTTAAGATTACAAATTATTAAAGGAAAAAACAAGAAATTCTAAAAATAATAATCTATTTTTAAGTCAATGATAATATTAATAAATAATTTTAATACATATGTTTATATCTAGAATTGGATCTATATAAATTTTTGTATTGTTTTGAAAAATAATGAATTAATTAATATAATGTAAGAGAAACTTATATGATTATATTGTTATAAATACAAACATATGAATAAAATTAAAATTTTTCATTTTTATATAATTATAATTTATATTTATTTTTTTTATGTCTCTAAAATATTCAGATCTCTATGAAGAATTAGAGACCATAGGAAGTGGAAGTTATGGTATATTGATATCTCATTATATATAGGATCTGCATATTTGGTCAAGAATAAAAAAACTGGTCAATTGTCTGTGGCTAAAAAGGTTCATTTGGGTAAACTATCAGAAAAAGAGAAAATAAGTGCATTGAGAGAAGCAGAACTATTAAAAAGTTTAGATCATCCCAACATAGTCTAATATATGGGAAGTTTTGCAGATAGTAGTTAATTAATTATATTAATGGAATATTGCGAAGGTAAATTATATAATCTTATAAACAACTTTAGAAGGAGACTTACAATATCATATAAAAAAAAGAAAGTAAGGTAAATAAATACAATACTTTCCTGAAAAAATGATTTTGAATTGGTTTATCTAATAATTATTTGCTCTATAATTTATCCATTCAAAAAAGATATTACATAGAGATATTAAAACAAGCAATATATTTCTTACTTCAAATGGAACAGGTATTAAATTATATTATTATTCTTAGTTAAACTTGGAGATTTTGGTGTTTCTAAAGTATTAGAAAGTACTATAGATTAAGCATCAACTGTTGCTGGTACTCCTTATTATATGAGGTATTTAAGTTTTTCTGATAATAGTCCAGAAGTCTGTGAAAATAAACCTTATACTTTTAAATCAGATGTTTGGGCTCTTGGATGTGTTTTACATGAATTATGCACTTTCAAACATGCATTTGATGCTAAGAATATATTAAGTTTGGTTACTAAAATTTTAAATGGTCAAACTGAAACTTTACCTTCTCATTATTCAAAAGATTTACAATAATTAATTCATAGACTTCTTACCAAATAAGTTTAATCACGTCCTCTTGTTGCTGAAATTATTAATATGCCTTTTATTCAATCTGTTATGCAAGATTTTATAAGAAGTGGAGGAAAATAAAATTTTTGTTCAGTTGTTGGAGTTAAAAAAATTAAATAACATGAAATTTAAGCACATAATTAACATTAAATTTAATTAAATTAGATAACTCAATCTAAATAGGATTAAGAATCTTATGAACATTCTCTTAAAGATGAAATAAATAAAGAAAAGGATGATGAAATTAATAATTAGACTGTAATATCTTAATAATTAACTAAAAGTAAGACTTTTAAAAATATATAGAGTAGATTGATAATGCGAGTAGATATACTATAGGTGAAACAATTATGAGTTAAGCATCATAATTTTTAGAATCTGAACCAAAATAAATATCTCCAAAATCTATTTTAAGATTAAAGAAAGAATAAGAAACCTAATAAAAAATAGAAATGTTATCAAAAGCAGCTTAAAATATTAGTCAATAAAATTAAAAGTAGGCTGAATTAAGAAAGATTTAAAATCTTTATGGAACTCAATCATAATTTTATCAATAAAAATAATAAGAAATATAATAAACTACAACATAATAATAATTTTATTAAAAATAGTAACAAATAGAATCACCATTATAGAAAAGTTCAGTTTAATAACAACAATAATAATAATAGATTAAATAATAATAATAATAATAATAATAATAATAATAATAATTTTAAAATCCTAATTTTGATCAGAGTCTATAATCCTCTTCTAAATTTAAACCAATTGATGAATAAGTTATGAAGAAAAGTTTATTAAGTTTAAAGTAGAAATAAGCTTAGAAAAGAGAATAATCTTCAAAAAATTAAACAATGGATCATTAATATGATGAATATCCAGAAGATTTTGAATATTATGATGATTTTGAAGATTATGATTCGGATAATGAATTTTAAAATGAAACAGTTATTAATGAAGAAATTTTAGGTGATGAAATGGATGGTACTAGATTGACTCAAAGATAATCTGATTAAGATTTATAAAATGTAGTTGAAGTATACAAAAATGAATTAGCAAAAGCTAAAAGTGGTAATGATACTCTAGCAGGTAAATAATTAATTTAATTATTATATAGAAATATAAGAAGAACCTGAATCTTCGTATTCTTCTAGTTTTTATAAGACTGATGAGAAATTTAAACCAAAAATTTCAATGATAGAAAACCTTAAAAAGAGTATTTTGCAATAGATCCCTTAAGATTTATTTAATTTTGCTTACAATAGAATTTTAAAAGCAATTGAGAATAAACAAAGTTCTTAAGAAGTACATCTTATTAAAATTATTCGGTAGATGTACAAAGATTTAAAACAGATTTTGGGGAAAAAGTATTCAGGAGCTGGATTTTAAATAGAATAATTGATATATCAGGAACAATTATATAAACACTTTCAAAACTGAGTTTTTCATTTATAACATTTATAAATATTCGTAAAATATAGTATAATTTTGATAATAATCATAATAAAGTAGTTATTAGTTTAAGTAGACTCTAAATATATTGAGTACAAGACAATTAAAGAAAGCAAAGCGAAGATGTTTAGAAGATAAAAAGAGTATAGTTTTGTTTTGATAGAAATGTTATTCACTCAATTAAAAAGTCTCCTAATGAATATATTAGGAAAAACTAGAGAAGTCATTAAAACAAAAAATAATCTCTATAAAATAGAGAATAAAAAGATTAAGAATTATTATCATAAGAAGAAGAAGATACTCAAGATTTCTCTGAATTAGAAGAGAATCAATAATATATTAGCATAATAGAATGGAAAAAAATACAAGAGGACAATTCTAAAAAAATGACTGGAAATAATTTGATTGTTTCTTAAAGGTCATAACATTCAAATGATTTTTTAAAATTAGAAAAAGTTCCACTTAAATCATGTTTAAAGAAATTAAAGAAGGATATCTATGTATAATATGAAGAATTGTTTGGAAAATTATATTAAGACTAATTATAAACATAAATTTCATCAGAAAAATTAAAACTTAATTAACAATAAATCAAATAATGCATAATTGTTACTGAATTCAATAATATTATGAATGATGATGATGATGAAGTAATATAATGATTAAATCTTTAGATATCCATAACTATAGATGAATTGGATGAGTAAATTTATGAACATAAAAGCTAATAGAAAAATGAAAAGTTTGATATATCAAAATTTGATAACATAAAGAAAAGAATTGAAATTAATTAGAGAATCTAATCATTATGAATTTCACAATAATTAATGAAATATATATATATATTATCATTAATTGATTATATTTTTAATAATTAATATAATATTAATAATGAATTAAGTAAATTAAGTCCTTCAAAAACCTTAAATGTACTATTATATTATTATCTTAGTGATAAAAAGATCTTTGATACTACAAGTTATGCACTTCCAAAAAGTGATTAAATTATGACTAGATTATAAGAGAATTTCTCAAAATTTGGTGCTACTTATTCTTAATTCACAATTGCTATTGTTGTTTTAGGAGGATTAACAAATTTTTCATTCTTAATTAGTGTAGGATTGAGCATTGCATTGTACAAAATTATATATTATTATTAGTTGGTATGCTGCTTTGAAAAATGATGAAGTATTAGATTATATTCCCAATTTTGGTTATCTAACAACTGATAAAAAAAAGGTTCTATTGTTTTTATGTAATATTCTTACATAATTTAGTGAATGTTCTTGTTTTGTATATTTTTTGTGGAGATTCCATATTCACTTATATAGGGGTTGGGTAAGAATATAATATTGAATTAGTTTCCTTATATCATTTCTACACTCATTTTTGTTTGTATCACCATCTACAGGAGCATTAATTGATGGCTAATCTCATCAACAAACAAATTAGGATCTATCCCAATATGCTAATTTCAGTAATAATAACAATATTGAATTATAATATAAATGATGAATATTATATGATGTTAATCTATATAATTTTTCTAAATTTTTAAAACTATTTTAGTAAGGAATTAATAATAAAATACAATCATAAAATATTTATTTAAAACTTTTATCTATATAAGAAAATAAAAAAATGTATTTCTTTATCATTTTTTTAAATAAATACAATTACAATTAAAATTTCCTTATTTTCTAAATTTCATTTGATTTTCTAATTATTCTCTATATGATAATTGATTTATATACACATAATGAAATATTATAAAAAGAAACAAGAAAGATAATATTAGATATAAATAAATATATTTTTAATAAATGGGAAAAGGAAGTTCAGGGATTAAAAAATAAAAAAAAAGTAAAATGGGAGGAGAAGATTAGAACTACGGAAAAGTTGTAATTTGTCTTCATTTTATTTTAGGGAAGACCAAAAAAGAAGAAAGAAAATAATGAGGCAACTCAAGAGGTTGATAAAAGATAATGGTTTAATGTATATCGAGCTTTACAAATGCTTACACTTATATGTGAAAAAGGAAGCTTAGCTTTAAGGTACAAGACTGGATAAAAGAGTAATACAATGGAGGAGTCAACAAAAACAAAGAAAAGTGAGGAAACAAGAAAGTTGAAGGTAGTGGATAATATTCTATTAGTAATAAGCAAAAACTTAAGGATTTGAAGAAACATTGCAATTATGAAGAAAGAAAATTGTATCTCCTTATAGATAATAACACTGAAAATGTTTAAATTGAATTACCAAATGCTGATAATGATGGAATCATTGAAGACATGGATAAAATCTATAAATATCTTGACAAAGAGTTTTAAGTGTCATTTCTTTTGATTTTATAATAATACTTAGAGTAATAAGAATAAGATTCTATGATATTGGCAAGAGAAATAGTTTAAAAAATAATGGAATAGAAAGAACAGCATAAGATGCTTTTGAATTTAGCATTAATTAAGACGAATATAGAAGAAGATTTAGAATATGTATTATAATTGGTATGAGATTAATAAAATATGAAGGCTAATACTACTACAGGAGTATAATCATAATATGAAGTGAATGAAAAGTGGATTAGTGAAGAAAATAAAATAGTGGAATGGTTGGTTGCATTTATAGATAAGATTATTGCTATATTCAAGACAGATAGATAATGAAATTAACAATCCCTAATTATAATTATTTTGAATTTATATGACAACAAATATTTAAGTGATTTGTCGTTTTAGACCATCTATTGCTGGTTAAGTTGAAAGCTAGATTAATTTTGCTGATGATAAGAGTGTTCTAATAGAAAATCAATAATTTAACTTTGATCATATATTTCATCCTGGAAGATAAATAGAAGTATTTTAGGTTGCTGCAGAACCTGTAATTAAAGGTGTGTTAGAGGGATTTAACGGAACTGTTGTAGCTTATGGATAAACAGGATCTGGAAAAACACATACAATGGAAGGCTCAATTGGAGAAGAATAAGGAATCATAAAAAGAATGGTTAATACAGTTTTTGATTATATTGAAGCAAGTCCAGATTATATTGAATACAGAATTAAAATATCTGTAGCTGAATTATATATGGAAAAAGTGAGAGATTTATAGAACATCAAGAAGAGTGATTTAAAAATAAGAGAAGACAAGAATCATTCTACATATATAGATGGAGTAACTGAAACATCTATTGCTGATTAATCTGAAATTTATGATATTTTAAAGATGTGTAATTCTAATAGGATGATTGCCAGTACTAATATGAATGAATAATCATCTCGTTCACATATGATATTTTTAATGACAGTTTAATCAATTGATTTAAGAGATTAATCTGCTAAAACTGGTAAACTATTTTTAGTTGATTTGGCGGGAAGTGAGAAAGTATCTAAAACAGGAGCTGAAGGAAAAATTTTAGATGAAGCCAAAGGTATTAATAAATCATTATCTGCTTTGGGTTAAGTTATTAATGCATTAACAGATGGTAGTTAACATGTACCATATAGAGATTCTAAATTAACAAGAATATTATAATGTTCTTTTGGTGGTAATAGTAGAACAACATTAATTATTACTTGTTCTCCTGCTTAATTTAATTTATAAGAAACTTTATCTACTTTAAGATTTGGTGTTCGTGCTAAAGCTATTAAGAATAAACCAAAAATTAATAAGGAACATACAGTTGAAGAGCTTAAAATTATAGTTTAAGAGAAAGAGAAAGAAATCTTATTATTATAAGAATAATTATCTTAATATAAAATGGGAATGGTAATTAGTGAAGAAGATAAGGAAATGATTAAAGAAATTTAAGAAGATATTCTACTTGAATAACCAAATAGTAATGAATAATTATTTAATATGTAATAAATAATTACAAAATATGAATAAGAAATAGAAATTTATAAATAGCAAGAGTTTACATTTTAATAAAGAGAATTAGAATTTATAAATAAGATAAGATAAAAAGAAGATGAAATGCAAGAAAGTTTAAATATTATCCTAATATATTATTTTAGAGATATAAGATTTTGAAACACAGTATGCTAAACAGGAAAGTGAATTTAAAATAAAATAAACTCATTTGTATAGACTTTTATCTTAAAAATTGGGTTAGATTGGAGATGATTCTTATATTGATGATGAATAAATATTAATTTTAATAGAGAATTATGCTAAAGAAAAGGTTACTTCTAAATTAAAATAAATTACATATTTATATAAGAAACATCATAAGGATAATTTAAATGATTAAATAATGATATATTTAACAGAAGATAAGAAAGAATTTAATATACATAGTAATAAAATTAATAATAATAATATTAGATGATTAATTAGCTGAATTACATAGATAAGTTGCATTATTAAAAAAATAGAATCTTGAATTACAAACAGATTCTAGTACTTAATCTTAATTGTTAGAAACATTAGAAAAAACATAATAATTATTAGATTCTGAAAAAGTAAGATGTTAAAGATTAGAATATACATTAAATAAAAGTATTTAATATATTTAATTATAGATAATAAAATATATAATGAAAAATGTAAAGAGTTAAATAATAATATAGAAAAAATGTTATCTGGAGTTCATTAAGTAATTAATGAAAAATAAAAATATTATAGAGATTGTCAAAAATTAAAAAAGATATGTGATGAAAAGAATTTAAAAATATAAGTATTAATATTATATAAATATTTTATATAGAAATTATTAGATGAAATTAATAGACTTAGTGTAGAAAATTAGAAATTATTCGTTAAATATGATTAATTAAAAGAATTATAAAAGTTAGAAAAAAGTTCATATCTTGATACTTCAGAAGTGAACTCTTCATTTCGATAAAATAAGAAAATTCATAAATGTATAAAAGGAGGCACTAAAAATTAAATTACAGAATAAGTAATAAATAAGGAAAATATTTCTGATGAAGAATAATGAATTATCAAAATTTATCACTCATTATATATTCAATAGCACTTAATACATTAGAAAATTAAGCTGATTCTCTACCTTAATTATATGTCATTTCAGCACCTAAAAACATTTCTATAAAATTTAATTAACACACCCATTTTTCAGATTAAATTTTGAAAATACAAAATGTCAATATTCCTATTTAACTATATTTAAATATAATAATAATACTTATCTAATTCAAGTAAAATTTATGAATTACCTTCTTTTTTTATGTCTTTTATCATTGATTATTCTAATTTAGAAAATAAATCAAATTTATCACAAGGATTCTCAATTTATAAAATTGCTTATAATTGATTTATTGTATTTTAATAATCTGAATAATATTATTCAGGTACTTTTAATTCAGCCAATGAAATATTTTTATAATTATGTAGTTTCTTTTTGAATATTAAGGTTTTATCAAAACTATAAATTTCAAAAGTATCTACTATAATTTTCTTTATATTTTAATTCTAAAAGATCATTTTTATTAATAATTATTTAAACTTTTCTCTATTTTAAACCTCATATATTAATCTTAACATCTATTCCAAATATTCAATGAAGTATTTAATATCATCACAAAGTGAAGAATAAACAAAATCTTTTGATTATATTAATCTAACTAAATATTCCTTTTCTTTTTAATTTTAAAATATTGAATATTTCTCACTAAATATTTCACTCCATATATTCATTAAATCTTTAATAAGATGGTGATCTGCAATCTACTTATAAATTAACTCTTCTTTTAGATTGTTAACTTAAGGAATCAAAAATTATGCAGATTAAGCTTTTTATAGAAAGAGGATTCCTTACTATGATTAAGATAAACAGAAATTGCTAACTATGAGGCATATTTCTATGGATCCATATTGAGTAAGAATTTCTTAAGATCTTCCTTATATGATTATAGATGATCTTAATGAACCGCTTAATCTAAAACTTCAATTGCATTTTTGCGTATTATTTCTGGTTTATATTCTTTAAAACTTTGATTCTTTAATTGTTTGCTTTTATTCAAACAATGTTCATTCCAAAGTTCTAGAATAGATTTTTGCTTTTATTAATTACCCATATATATATAAAAATAAAATCATTTCTTTTTGGATCGAATATCTATCAGACTCTAAATCAATTTTGAAAAATATACTTTATAATTTTGAATATCTTTCTCTATTTCAATCAATTCATTTTTCAAATCCTAATTTTATCTAATAAGATCAATCATTGTATGATATGTTTAAATTGGAGTTTGATTGTTAACAATTGCTTTTTGTGAGCCTTACTAATCCAATTTTTAAGGTATTTTATTTTTGACTTACGTAGGAGGTTTAGGAATAGAAAGTTATTTCTTGATCTTTTAGATTGCTTATTATGGCTAACTATCAACAGGAACTCGATTTTGTAATAGAAACAGTTGCTAATAAGGACTCTGCATCTAGATAAAGGTATTGAAAGAGATCTACTTATGCAGGAGATTAAAACAGTGTAAACATTTTTTGAGCATGAGGGGTCTCGTAATTCATATTTTAATAATATATCAACTCTTTATTTCTGGTCTAACAACTGTTTCTGGTTTAAAATACTAGGTAGATAAATTGCATCCCAAAGATGCCAATTATCCAATGATCATTCTACAGATAGCAGGAAGTGAGACATGTTTTAAGTGGGGATCCATTTCTTATTTCACTTTGGCTAATTAAATACATAATTATATATATATATTACCTATTTCATAAACTTATTACAAAGAGATGGTATCATACCATATATAACCAGGGAAATTTGTGAATTTATCAGTACCTACAAGTAAGATTATTAGATTCAATCATACCAGTGGCCTTTCTAAGAAACCAAGTAGTTTCAGGTGGTTTGATTAGGAATTTAAATGTTCTATCTGGAAAGGCAATAACCTAAACTCTTAGTGGAACATCTGGTCTAAAGGCTTAACTTGCAGCATTGAATTCTTTGCAAAATTGCATCATATTGATTCCCAAAGGACCCAATGATTGACCCATTTTAGGACTTGGTTTAGCAACACCAGCATAGAGTCTAAGCATGATTTTGGCTCTGTAATCTTTTGGAAGTGTCTATAATTTTTTCTTGATCAAATTCATTTTATTTATTAAAATGTTTGGGACTCAATTTGATTACTTAAAACTAAAACCAAGAACAGTAGAAGAAATACATCATGAAGATGGTTATGTAAAAGAAGGAATTGAAAGAACAGCAACAAGAAGAATCTTTTTATCAGTTGAATATGATCATTTTGAAAAGAAATAAATTTAATAATTCAAAGATATCATTAGAGGTGCTAATATAAGTGTTAGTTCTGATGATGTATTATTAAGATTTCTATATGCAGGATATTTCAATATGACTAATTGTTTAGAAGTATTTTAAATTCCATTCTCAAATAGTTATATAAACGACATATATATTGGTTGAATACTAGTCGTCTCTCTACTATACCAGATAAAGTACTCTTATGTTTAAGAGAAGGATTAGTTTATATAGGAGGCAAAGATTATTAATATCGTCCAATTATAGTTATTAATTTACATATGATGGATCTATATCTATTCGATTCAGATGCCTTTATACATGCTCTATCTATTTTATTTGTTATTTGTGAAGATTATATGTTCTATCCAGGAAAAGTTGAAAATATTGTTGTTATTGTTGAAACTGATTAAATGAGTCTTTACAATTTTCCTTAAAAAACATTTCAAGTAATTCTATGGATGATGAGTTAAAACTTTCCATAAATATTAGATCGTCTTTATTTATTTAATCCATCTAAAGAATTACTAATGAATTGGGATAATTATCATTAAATGTTAGATAGTAGAACATTCAAAAAAATTGAAATTTGGGAATCTAAATCATTTGCTCCTCTTGCTCATGGTTTTCATCCTGACATGTTGGAACGTAGATTTGGAGGAGGGATGCCCAATCTACAATAATATTGGTTACCTACTCAAATCATCTAATAACCTAGTAGTATTTCATATAAAGTTCAAAAACCCATATATAATCAAGGAACTATTTAATATTCTCTTTATAATGATCCTAAAGAACTATTAGATCGATTACAACAAAGAGATGCAGAAGATAGATCATAAGAAGCTACGCTTAAAAGTGAGCCTCAATCTAGTGTTGCTTCTGGAAAATTAAAAGTCATTGATTTTCATTAAACTATGGGTAATGCTTTTAAAATTTAAAATAATGGCCAAGATTAATAAGATTTAAGTTAAACTAATTTCTCTGGAGAATTCTATTAATAAACTAATTAAATTCAATAATCTTCATAATAATAATAATTCATGAACCCTGGATTTTAGGGATCAGCAATTCCAGATTAATAGTTTTAAAAAAATAGTAAAGCCAATTCTGTAACCTCATCTCAAAGAATTAAAGATCAATATATAGCTTAATAATTAATGGGTTCCTCTTAAAAACCCATTAGTGGTATCTAACAAACTATAAGACCAAATACTATGCCTGTACCTTAATTAGGAGCTCCTGCTCAATCTGAAAGAATTTATGAATCTATGGATGAAAAATTAAATGATTCATAAAGACCATCTAGTAATAATGTTTAAGCATGTTTAATAATGTGATGATTATAAATTCATAATATTTATATATTTCTTATATCTAGGTATTTTTATGGTAATTGATTGAGATTCATATAAATATGTAGTTCTCTTTTAGATCATTAAAAGCAAATATGATTATTTGTTAAGTAAATTAGATTAATAATATTTAAGAGAAAGATTGCAAATATGATGAACATATATTTATTATTGAATTCATTTTATATCACCAAAATTTTAATCTTTCTCATCGCCACTAGAATCAAATTCCTCCATAACTTCTAAGTCTGATGGATTCTCTTCTTCTGACCAATCTTCAGAATCACTGAATTCTTATAACCCTGGCATTCCAGGAATTTAACTTAGAGGATGAATTCTCAAAAATGTGCATCTCCAAACTACATTATATCGAAGGTTTCTAATAATATTCACAAATTTCATTAATAAATTTAATGAATTAAAAGTATCAAAACATATTATGAATATTGATCAAAAATACCATATTAAGTTAAATATCATGTTTATGAATATCAAATATTTATGGTTTATTATGTTTAATCTATATGAATAGAATATATTACTATTTATTCTTTAATTTTCAATTGAAAATAAATAAGAGCATTGAATATTCACTCAATTTCTTTTATATTAATATCAATATTTGAAAATTTAAAATAATATTTATCATTAAATTAACTCATCTATAAATATGAATAGATAAAGTAATAAGGTGTTATATTTTATTCAAAGAACAAATTAGAAAAACCTCTATTTCTATAGAGATACAAATAATTGACTTTATTTGATTTAATAATGTGATAAAGTCATAAGTATTGGATATGGATATTATGATCAAATTAAATTAAATAATAATTATCACATCCAAAAGTTGATATAATTTTATTATTCGTATTTCTATCTCATAAAGATAAATAGAGAACAAATTAATAAATATTAATAACCTCAATCATTTTGTTAATTCATTTTATTAGAACATTTCATAAATAATAATTGATTTATATATAAATTAGTATAAAAATCATCATTATGTAAATTATATCATTTAAATTTCTTTCTTTCAATTTTTGACTTTACGACTATATTATTAAAGAAACCAAAAAATGAAGCATATTATAGAAAAAATAAATTGTCAATTTCACATTTTCAACATCAGTTGATGTAATTTGGATAAGCTAATTTTCAATTTTAAATAGATTCTTATAATAGTAATAAAGTAATAAATAAATAGATGTAAATAGCAGACACAATTACTGATTACTTAATTTGGAAGTACATAATTCTAATGAAATGTGTATTTGATATTATTTAGTTAATATAATGATATTCAAGTTTAAAAAATTCATTTATCAGGTCTTGTCATTTTTCTTATAGTTTTTTTAATGTTATGGAACATTTTTAGCAATGTCATTCATTTCCTTTTAGAATTTGGAAAAAACATTATTTTTGATTCCTTATTGAGAAGGTATTGCTTAAAAAGTAACAAAATTGGAAAATTATTATTCAGAAGGAAGAGTTTGAAAAGAAAATTATTATCCTGTTGATAACTGAGAACTTTTTTAATGTTCTTTAAACACTCCAAACTAAGGTTATTTTTATGGTTAATAGTCTTCATCAGAATCAGATAGAGAAATCATTTATTGTGGTGCATCAAATAGTGAGCCTAATTTAGATTATTGAGGAGGAGTATTATCAACTTCTAATGTTTCTATTCTCTCTACACGTTTACAACATTATCCATTTCCCATTTATTTAATATAAATTAATAAATAGCCAAAATATCATTATTATTCTTAAGAAATATTAAAAAATTAACACTATATACATTAATAAATTATTAAAGTAGTCGTATAAATAATATTTGAATTAGGGAGAAAGTTAAAATCAAAAATTTGAATTAAAATTTTTGAAGGATTTGCTTAATTAGAATTAATGAATAATATTATGTATATTTTTAAAAAGTAAAGTATATTGATTATTTTTTTTATTTTGTTTAGAATAAATTAAATTAAGAAATTAAACAATAATTCCAAAAATTAATAGGATCTATTTAAGAATATAATATATGAAATGAAATAGAAATTTAAGAACATAAAGGTTCATTCTAAATATTTTTCTAAATCTGAAAGGTCCCTTGATTATTATTGATATGACTTTAAAATACTTTTTCTTTCCAATTATTTAACATATTCTTTTAGATTCTCTTCTTATTCTTATTATTACATTCTATAGCTATTTAAACATTACTGAGCTTCCTTGAAATACTTTGAACATTTATTAGCATATTCAACATTTAATGGTAAGTCTAATTATAATAGATTAATAAATTTGGAGATTTTATCTAATGTTTCTACTTGTCTAGTAGTATTATGATTTCCATCACATAATTCAAGTCTTTTATAGGATTTACAATTTTCATAGAGCATTTATGAATGTCTTGGATGAACTAATTAATCAGTTTTTCCAGCAAGGAAATAAAATCGTTTATTATTACTTTAAATACCAACACAATTAAGAGGAGATACTTAATCAATATCAAATTATGCTTCATTTATTATTTTGCTTCTAAGAAATGGCATAAAACCGTTGATCATAAATGAAAAGCATCCAAATTTTTGTTAACCTAATTCCTCTATAACAGTTCTTAATTAAGTAAATGCACTATCAGCAATATAAGTAGTAATTCTAGGATCTTGAGATAACATAAGTGCAGTCACAGCTCCCATACTTCTACCCCATAAAATAAATTCATCAACCTTACCAAAGCGACATTCTATATAGTTCATTAATTCTTTAACATCTTCACTTTCATAAGTTCCCATAGTTATATATTTACCTTCTGATAAACCACATCCAGCAAAATCAAAAATGCATAAATTAACTCCAGTAGCTAATAATCTATCTACATACTATAATCCTTCTAATCTACAACTAGCATTGCAATGTAAATATATTAAACAACGATGATGAACAGATTCTTATACAAAATAACTAGCTTAAAGTTTAAGTTATCTTGATGTAAATTCAAAATCTTCTCTTATTATTGGAACACTTTATATAAAACGTGTTTTGGGACCTTTCATAGTAAATCCATACCTAAAAGTTATATTGAATAAGTTCTTCTTGGTGGTCTTATTATCTATTTACAATAATCACTTATGAATGACATTAATATTAATGCATTAAATTGTTGTTAAAGCACTTATTCGAGAATTCCTCTTAAAGTCAGGACTTACTGAAACATTAAATACCTTTGACAAAGAATACAAAGATAAGACAACTATAACAAAGATGGATGTAATTTTGTAACTTGGTCTTTCAAAAGTTGTAAAACGAAACAATTTATCATTGAAACCTTTAAAAAGTTTATTAGAAATCTTGGTTTCTCATCTTCTCAATAAAAAAGCATAATTGGAAGCATTAACAATAGCCTCAAAAGCTGAAAGGATTGAAGACATACCTTAAGATATTCCATATGATCCTAGTGTAGGTGCATCTCGTATGAATAAAATGAAGAAAAGACCTTAATCAGAATACAAACCTAAAAACTTAGATTTATCAAAAGAAGAAGAAGTAGTAATAGAATAAAAGGAGGATAAGAAAGATGAAACATTTACATCAAATAAAGGATAATAAGAAATATCAAGAAAATCTTCTACTAAATAAGTCCGATTATAAGACTATTAAGATGATAAAATTGATGATCAATCAAATTAAGATAAGAAAGAATTACCTAATTTATTATTAAGTCAACCACCTAAATTAATTAATATGAAAAAATAATCAGAAAAAAAGGAAGTTGATTAAGTAATACTCAAAGATTTATAGGATAATAATTAAGATAATTAATCTATGAATATTAAAGTAGAATATTAAAAGTGCAATATTAAATAACATAATGTATAACTTCAAATTTCAAATTTGAATTATGATAAATCAATAGGATTTAATTAAGGGAAAAGAAGACCTTAATAAAAAACTATAACATAACCTATTAAAAAACTATTATTTTAAGGCACTATGAATGGATTACCTAAAAGTTGGTCATAACCATTTATTTTTAAAGATGAACCAACTTTTTTTGGATTACATTAATTAGAAGGTGGTCCATGTGGTGTTTTGGCCTCTGTTTAAGCTTACTATCTTAAACATTTTCTATTTTCTTAATCTAGCTATTCTAAAGTTTCTATAAAATAAAATTGTTTACTTGCTGCTTTATCTGATATATTTTATAAATCTAATAAAGAAAGACTTATTATAGCTATTCCAGCAAGGGATTCATCAATGAATTAAGCTATAGGAATTGAAAGTTGTGATTAATTAGAATATTAAATCAAATCTTTTAGTTATTTGTATGAAGTATTATTGGAACATGCATCTCTATTTTTTGGACAAAATGGAGTAACTTTATTCTTTTATTCTCTTATATTAACAAAAGGTGTTGAATAAATTATTTAAGAAATGGATTCTGCCTCAAATCCTTTGATTGGTAATCATGGTCATTGTACACAAGAAGCAGTTAATCTTATGTTAACTGGTAAGGCTATTAGTAATTGTTTTGATGGGTAATACTTAATTTAATAATTTATAGATGTAAATAAATAGATGAATTGAAAATTAAAGGAATTGAAGAAAGAAGTGAAATTGGATTTTTGACTATATTTGAACACTTTTAATATCTTGAAGTAGGAAAGAATTTGAAAGAACCTCTACTACCCATATGGGTGATTTGTAAAGAATATCATTATTCAGTCATTTTTGGTTGTAATAATGATGTAATTTAAGATAAACCATATTTAAGTAAGAAATAATATATATATTTTAGAAAATAATTTGAAAGAATTTGATTTAGTTTTTTATGATGGATTGAATAATCCTGATGATCTAATAATCATTACAATAAGAAGATTAGGTGCATAGTTAGGAAAATAGAAAAAGAAGATTTAAATAGAAGGAGTATAATTTGATTCGAGTGATAAAGTTACACCTTTAATAGAATGTTTATTAAAAACAAAATATGGAGAATTAGAATTAGATTGGAATGATAGTATGCCAATATTATGAAAAACTTCAATTTTTTTTTAATGTTAGTTATCTACAATTTATTACATCTTGGATATGACATGAATTATTATTAATTTCCAAAATATAAAGTACATCTCCAAATTCTGAATATTTTGGTACTATCTAATCTGGACAATTATGAAGTGAATAAATTGAATTATTTATTGTAATAGGTTATCCTTATAATTATCCAATAGGTAAATTTAATTAATTTAAATTATCTATTGTTGCAGTTTAAGTATTGAATGTAATCATTTTATTTGCATTTTTTAGATGTTTATAATAACCTCCATAAATTAGGATTTTCTATTCATCCAATTAAATACAACAACATCTTATAGTAGTAAATCCAGGTATCATATTTTTAACTAATATGTTTTACCATCTTCTTTCTAAATTACTATATTTTTCTATTGAATCTAATAGAATTCCTCCTTATCCTTATCCAAAAAATGTGTATATAAATGTTTAATCTTCATTTTCAAATACACATGAAGAATGATGAGATCTAGGTTCATTCAAATTTGCAAACTCTTCCCATAATTAAGTATTTACTATAAATCTCCAACATTTAGCAGTTACACCATCTTAAGTCTTACCACCAATTACATAGATAAATCCTTTTATATATATTAAACTATGATGATTAACAGGTTCTAATAGATTAGGTAATTATAATAATCCATGAACATTATCAAATTAATAGAATTTTTAACTTAGATTTGAATTATGAATACCACCACAAATATATAATATTAAATCACTTGTAATAAGTGTTTATGCATTTTCTGGTATTTTAGCACTTTCAGGAAGTGATATTAATTAATTCTCTTTTAACTAAATATCATGTATAAAAAGAGTTTAACAATCAATTAAAGAATGTAAATATCTAATTCTAGATTGTTCTAAAATTACAATCTTTTAAATTTCTTCATTTTAATCAAATTATTAAATCAATTAATCTTCCAGATTCTATTCTGTAATTGCTTAAAGATAAGTATGATTTAATATTTGAGATTGAGCTAAGTTTTATGGATTAATCAAAGTCATCTTTCTTTCTAATCTTTAACTATTGTTCCTTTCCATTGTGAAATGTAATGTTTATCTAGGCTTTGGAGCTCTAATTTCAGTCTTATCCATATGATTTTTCTCAAAAGTTATGCTAATATAATTTGAAAGTAATTAAGGTATATCTTATGTGAATTTATCATTTATTTTTAGATTTGGTTTTTTATACTCAATTTTAGTTTTCTCTATAAATTAAGTAACATTTTCTCTCATTTTTTTTATTGATGCTTTAAAATCTCTTTCAAAGAATTCTGATATTTAAAAATCATTAGTTGATATATATTCATTTAATTCAAACATAATTTTTTCTAATTCTTCTTATAATATTTTTTTTTATGTTAAGTTTGAATGATTAGATGTTAAAGAAATAAAAGTATGCTTAAGTTCATCAAAAAAATTAGTTACTGCCTATTATAAAATTGTTTAACTTCTTTATAATAACTATAATCCTATTCTTTATTATTCAACTAAATTATACTCTGGTTACAATGTTTACATTAATAAATCTAATTCTTAACTTAAATCATTTGCCTCTTTCTAAACTTCACTTCTCAATGTACTTAACTCAACTAATTGATGTATTTTTCTAAATTGTTTAATACTGTGTTCTACAACACATTTTTAACACATTGCTTTAGAACATCCTTTACACCAGAATTATAATATATTTTGATGAGTAGGATTCTTACAATAAGCTCTGAGCTCATGATGATCTCCGCTCAACTTATTTTCACTGCCTTTGTTAAATTAAATATGATTCTATGATAATATGTTATTCATTATTTTTTCGAATTCAATTTATAGTTATCCAATATTAATTATTGCATAGCCCGTTCTTCTGGACTCATAAATTAATCAAAATTCTCTTAGTCTACAACTTCTGAATGGTCTATTGACACTTTCGGCTTGGAATTTGAATTTTATCTTTTAACTAAGTGTTACTATTATTCTTTCATATTTAAATCTCTTTTTTAGTATTTTAATTATTCATAGATTAACTTTTATTGCATTAATTCATCTTCTGAAAATTTTAATCCTTCTATTTCAATTTATTCTTTTTTTACTGTTATATTTTAATTACTCCTTTTAGATTATTATCTTGACTAAAGACTTTATGTTCTTACATCTTAGTTGTTATTTTTATGTTCGAGATTTCTTTTAGGATTCTAAATTTATTTTCCTAATGGAGGTAAATTTGAATTCTTTGTCTTAGATGTTAATTATTTTTTTTCAAATTAGAGTTCAAGATTTTTCACTTCTCCTTTTGGATTTACTAATTTTTAATTATTATTATTATTACTCTATTACCTTATTCTATTTTAAGATGTAGAGGGTTTAGTATTTTTATTGTTATGTCTTGAACCTAATAATGAATTTGATGATGGAGGTCTATTAGGTTTATTAATTAATTATTTATCAATTCCAATTTATTCTTTTTTTTTATTATCCTGAAATACTTAATGTTTTAAAAGTGTTTATTTATGAAATTATCCAAAATTTATCTCTTTTTATGGTAATTTGTTTATTAACTATTATTATTATTATTACTATTATTATTATTATTATTATTATTATTATTATTATTATTATTATTATTATTACTATTAAGGAACTTATTTTTATATTTTAATCTATTATGGCTATGTATCTATATTAGATTATTTCTATTAACTTTTATGTTATTAATCTACTTCAATAATCTCATTATTTAAATTTTAAACTTTATCTTAAAAAGATGATTGTCTTTGAATTTGTTTCTCTTTTACTTCTATTTATTAACTGCAATTTTGATAGTGTTTACTTAAATCCCTTTTCATTATGTAATTCTAACACATTTAACATTTTTCAGTTCTGCTTCCACATTGATTTTCATGTTGAAATATTTAATCCATAGGATAACTTAATTCACAATACAAACATAATTTAGGCGTTTTTTGGCATTTATGTTTAGATAAATCTAGGAAATCAAAACAATATGATAACCATCAAATTCTTAGTAACAATACTAGCATTTTTCTTTTTTATGGTAATCTTCTTCATGAGATTCAGGATCATTTTTGTCATAATATTACCCACATCTTTCACATTTAATATTGTAACGTATACAATAAGTTTCATGAAGAATTAGTTTAGTATCTGCAATTAATTAGTTACAATTTGAACAGGGGCTACAATTTTCATTCATTTAATTAATAATCCAATATATTAGAATAAGACATAATTATTTTTAATCATTAAAATAAACTTTATAATAGTATTCAATATTAAAATGGTATAAGGATTTTATTAGATGTACTACTTTATTATTATTATTATAAATATAGTATAAAAGTCTAAAAAAATCATGAATTATTTTATATTAATTTTATTATTTATGGTTTTAGACTATTAAGAATTCTGTACTCCATTTCAGAGATTACGATAGTCATGAGACCTAAATTAAATTACTGTGTTATTGGGATGATGGCAACTTCGATTATTAAGTTAATGTTTCGAGGTTCCTAGATTCTCAAACAAAAAATTTATTATATTTATATTTTATTCATCTTTTCCTAATATTATATTTAATACTAATCTATATATTAAAGCTTTTTATATCATAATTCTAAAATATCCTTAATTTATTGTATATTGAATTCATTAATATAATGTTAATAAATAAATTCATCTATGTATACTTTATCACAGTGTCCATTATTTATGGATTGACAGCAATTGGATTCCTATTTAAAGCGCTTAATCCAGTTTAAAAAGTAATTTATTATCTTTATAGAAGGCATTGTCAAAAGTGTTAAGATAATAACCATTATATAGTTATTTGAAATTTACTTATGGTATTATTAGCTTTGGAATATGTCTATTGTGGATTTATAATTTTGATCAAATATAAAAGCAACTTGAACATTTGGATTTGCATTTAGATAAGACTACCTTAGATTATATTGAAGATAAAGAAGATTTATATAGAGATGAAAGAAATCTATACCTTTATGGAGGAGCATTTTTTGTCACTTTGGCTAATTTAAGAATATTGAGTTTAATACATGATTATTATGAATCATATGACAGAACAGAGGCAACATAGAAAAAATTAAAGGAATAATGAATTTTATAAAAATATAAATATATATATTAAAAGTCTTCAACATCTAAGTATTAATGGCAATGATCTCCATTAGATTTTATTACTAATTTAAGGAATACTAAAATCAGTCTGATTTTTAAAGTACTTTATATTCTTAGAAGTAATACATTTTATTGGATGATTGACTGTATTTGTATTAATTTCAGAGGTTTAAAACATTGAAATAGATTCAAAATTAGGCAATTCTGACAAAGATTTGATAATGTTCTAAATCTATCCATATTATTCTGGAATAAAATATTCCTCACTTATCATAGATAAAGAATGAAAAATCTAATCAGGAATTGCATCAAAATATTCAATATCTTTTTTAGCTTTTTCACATTAATTGTCAAAATCTAATTGATCAATTTTTAGTAACCCTTATATTTTATCAATTGGAGTAAAATAAATTTAAGTTGTTTTTAAATTAACCATACAAGGTATAAGATCAATAAAATCTTCTTTTTTTAAAGTTTCAATATGTGAAATTGTTAAAAATATACTTTAATTTTTTCGATTAGAGAATTCAAGTCTATCTTAATTTTCTGATTTTATTGCTACTGGCTACTTGCTGATTTTCCATGAAATCTTATTAATCAATTTATTTAGATCATCCTACACATCTTCTCTCTTCAACAGACAATTAAATCGATTTTTTACTTAATTCTCATTTCTATTCATACTCTTAGCTATTTCAGCCCACTTTTTACCTTTTTATTGAATTTGATAAATTAATTCAAGATCTTCTTTATCAGTCCATGGATCATTAATTTTTAATAAAATAGGATCTAAATAGTTTATCCATCTCTCTCTAAGTTATTTACATGTTCGATATACTAGATTATCATTATTTATCTGATTTGCTATTAATTTCCATTTTTTATCTTTATTTTTATATTTTTCTTATAGAATTATAATTTATTGATCTTCTTCTTATGTAAATGGCTAAGCTATTAAAGATGTTTTTAACATAGACTACCATTTTTGTCTTACATTATCTACATTTCTTCTAAGTAGATATTGGCTTATTTCAATAAAGTCTTATTTATTCAATAATCTACAATTTTTCTAATTAATTTAACAATACTTTCCAACAACCCAAACTAATACTTTTTTCTCATCTAAACTCCAACTTTTTTTATAATTTATAGAGAAGCGTCGACTATATAATTTGTTTTGAAGTCTAAAAATCTCATAATCATTAGGACAATCAGAAAAAGGGATATTAAAATATTCCTTTATATAAATGAAATCAATAGGAATATTTTAACAGCTATCAAAAAACTTTTAGAATAATTAATATTGTTTATGTTGAGTTTCTATTTTTTCTTAACTTTTTGCTATTGTTGAATTTATAAATACCTAAATGATCATGATAACTATGTTCTCTATGTGATTTTTGGAATTTAAACTCTGAACTTGAAAAACTAAAGTCTTCAAACATTCTTGTATATATTAAAAAATAAAATCAATTGGAGAATCTTTGAATTCTTAATTATAATTAAAATTTTATAGCATATCAAAATTTCACAATCTTTCTTTTAATTAGAAGTATTGTTTTGATTACTTATGAAACATTTTATATTAAATGAAGTTTTAATGAATTTTAGGAAAATAATATCTATATTTTACAATATTTTTCATTTAAATTTAATAGGTAAATATGTATATATAAATATGCCTTACCTATTAAAAAATAAAAAATATTTTATTATCAAAATTATTTAATTAATTAACAATTAGATAATTTAGAATGTAAAATAGATATTCAAGTTTATAAGATTGAATTCTTTAAAAAAGATTATATATATATTTTTTTTAAGTTTATGTTTCAATGTTTATTAATTAATTATCTTAAACAATAATAATAATTTAAATAAAAATAAATTGAAAAAGGTTTTATAAATGATCTTTAATATATATATATAAATTATTGTATTTGCATTAATGTACATATCTTAACTTTATTTTATATATACATTATCATAATATTAGAGTAAATAATTGTGATAAAATTGTCAATATCAATAAAATTACTATTGCTTTAGTTGTCATTCTTATTTATTGTTCACTTAATTTAGGTAATTTGAATTTTGAATTTTTAGCTATCATAATTTAACTCTTTCTTTATAGAGACACATTTTGATCATCTTATTTTATTTTTTATTCTGTATGATCATCATTTTTATTTTTTTATTTTACATTATAATCCTTTTTTTCTTATTCTTCTGTTTGAAATTATTCTTAAATGAAATCATTAAATTCATTAGAATTAAAGGTTATATTTCTAATAGGTTAAACTCTGATTTCTTTAACAACAATTTATTTAGGTGATTGTTGTTTAGGTTAATCAATTTTAAGATTGTCTAAATCATCATCTTTAGGCCAATCTGATGGATTGAATTCAGGGAAATCTTTGAATTCTAATGGTTCTTCCTTTTTAGGTAGGTATTTTTCTTTAATTTTTTCAATAACTTGTTAATTTACTTAATGAAGACCAATTTTCTAATCTATTTAGGTGATGAGTCCATTTAATCTTTAATGTGTATTGATAATTTCTTCATTTTCTTCAATAATAGGAAGTTCTTTTGGGAGAGATTTAAGTTTAGTTTCAGGATTATAAAATTCAGGACTTTTATCTGTATGTCCATTATTTTTACCTTCAGGTGAATCAAAAACCTATTCTAGATTTTGTGCAATTTCATGCAATGAATTATGAGAGGAATCATAATCACTGGATGTTTTGAGATGATGAAATTCTTCGTCTTAATGAAGACTTTCTTAATTGTCAGATTTTCGATCAGAAAGTCTTTGAAATGTTGTAAAATATTTTTCACAATCCTTTTCAGTAAGTTTCTTGTATGGAGAAACTAGAAGTTGTTTTTCTTCAGGAAGAGTGTTATGGAACATTGTAGTAATGGAAGAAGTGAATGTGTCAGCAGTTCTATCCATACCAATATATTTGTGAATGATTTGATCAATATGGAATTCTTTATTAGGTGTGGAACAAGAGGACTTGCTTTTTTTAATGGGTTCTACGGTTATGGCACTGCCACATACTTATCGAAGCATTCAGTTAATTATTTTAATGGCGAATCGACTAAAAACATAAATCCAATTTAGTGATGATTAATCTAATTCGAATTCATTTGAACCCATCGAAACCAAAAGATTTGAAGATCATTATGAATGTCTATAGACAATAGGTATGAAAATATAGTAATAATGAGTGTAGGATAAGGAGCTCATGCAGTAGTAAAGACAGCAAAGAAAAAAGGAACAGATGATATATATGCTGTAAAAATAATACGTTCAGGAGATTAAGAAATATAAAATAATGTTAAGAGAACATTCAATAATACTAGATGTCTAAAACATTCAAATATTGCTCAGGATATTGAGTTATATATAAATGAGAAAAGTGAAACCTCTTATTTAGTTATGGAATATTGTAATTTTCCAAGTTTAGAGAGTGTAATAAAACAGCGTACATTGACAATAGAAGAATTGAAAGTGATTATAAAATAATTGTTGTTTGCCATCTAGCATTCTCATTCAAAAGGCATATGTCATAGAGATCTTAAACCTGATAATATACTTGTTAATTTGAATGAGAATAGTATTCCACCTCATGTAAAACTTGTGGATTTTGGTGTTTCTCGTAGATTTGTATCCAAAGGATAAGAAATTGATATGTTAACAAAAACAGGCAATATTTTTTACTGCGCTCCTGAAATATATCATAAGAGTAGCTACTCAAAAGAAGTAGATATCTGGGCCATAGGAGTCATCATTTATTAATGTACTTTTCAAAAATTACCTTTACATTCTAATGAAATATCAGAATTTATTGATTTATTAAACAATCCAGATAAATGGACATTCAAAGAATCTTTAAGTAATATAGAATTACCATTATCAAATTTAATATTATCAATGTTGAATCCAAAATAAGAAAATAGAATAACAGCAGAAGAAGCTATTAAACATCCATTTTTTGAAATTGGAACTATACGTGATGTTATGGCTATGTTAAATTAAGATAATAATGAACGTGATAATTGTGGGAGATGTAAATCATTATAAAATAGTCTAAAAACAAATGAATTATGGGGAAATATGATTAAGAAATTATAAAATAGTGTTAATGAGAATGAAAATATTATTATTAATGATTTAGTACAAGATTTCGGGAATATTCACATTATCCAAAAACATACAGAAAAATGTGGTTAAATCTAATTATTGAATTCAGTTGGAAGTAGTAATGCTTTTATGAGTAAATTGGGATCCAGACAAGAAATACTTGATAAAAGTTGCGGTCTATAATTTTGTGGTTCATCAAGTATCACTAATTTGAAATAACTGTATAGATAAAACAATCCATTAAGATCCATTTGGAGATATTTGCAATATACAAAGTAGCTTAGAGATGAGAGAAGAACAAAATAATTTAAACAATAGATTATATTCATAATTTGAAACTAGTCCAAGTGAATGGCAATTATAAACACAAAAGCAGAATATTTAATAGGAATAACAAGGTTCTAAAAAAAGAGGATCATAAGTTAATAGAATGTTTAATGAATTAGGTATTAAAGAAGTGGATGAAATTACTGAAGATTAATTTTGATCAATATTGATTAATTTCTTCATGTTTTTTTTTAATTTTTTGATTTTTTTTTGTGTATTCTTTATGATAATTAGAATTTTGATTAATTTATGAACTAAATAGTTTAAATAATTCTTGAAATTGAAGTTCAAATTCATATAACAAAAATTATATTATTGAATATCAATTATCAATTTTTCTATATTTATCATATTTAAATAATTTGTCTAATTATTTATTATTGTAAATCTTTTATTGGATATAAAAATTTAGAGACTATTATTTTTATAAATTATCATATATTCTCACAATACTATTTGTTTGAAATATTCATTTTATTCTATCAATTTAAGTTAAGGAAAGATAATATACAATATTATTAAAGAACTAATGTAGATACTTCAATTTTCTTAATTGTTCAACTTTTTAGTATTTAAAATATATTTTATATATATTTTTAATTACATAATGACATTTAGAAATATGTTAAAATTTCTTAAATAATAAGTGATGAATATCTCTATCAATAGACAATCTTAAATGTATAAATATCTATGATTAAAAGTTATAATATAAATTATATTTTGGAATTTAAAAATTATAAAAATTATTAGCCAAATATTAGAATACTTACACATAATCAAAAACAAAAAGTTACTAGGTTCAATAAATAAATATTCATGGCAGATTAATCTATTAAAGGAACTAATTGGGGTAGAGTTATTATAGATGATAAGAATTTGAGTTTATCTCATCTATCTCAAAATGTCATTAAATTCCCTCTTAAGAGAATTACTAATTCTAATATTTAAAAGAATGATATTGTATTGTAATTAAGTACTGAGGAATGTGCAGAAAAGTATAAGGTTTCTAATTATTCTTTATTAGTGAAGATATGTTATGTGAAGTCAGATTTTATATTCCTCCAAGAGAACAAGTATATTTATAATATTTAAATATTAGAAAACAGAAAAAAAGAAATAGGAATCAAATGAAGAAGAATAAGATGAAATATCATATCTATAATAAGTTTAAAATCAGATTGTCAAAAAAGCAAAAATTGGAGGTAGTAGTGATTCAATACTAACTATTCATGAAGTACCCTTAATTGTACCTAGAGGGAAATATACTATGGATTTCTTTAAAAAAGACATTCGATTTCATGGCAATACTTATTAATTTAATACTGATTATAAGAGTATTACTAGATTCTTTTTACTTCCTATGCCAGATGAAGTCAATCTTTCATTGGTTGTTGGTCTTGAAAATCCTATTAAATAGGGTCAAACTGCTTATAATTATATAGTAATGTAATTTAGGAAAGACTTAGAAATATAAATTGAGATGAAATATACAAGAGAATAATTAGATAATATTGGATGGAAAGGAATTAGATTAGAATATTCTGGTTCTATGTTTGATGTAGTATGTGATATTCTCTCAGAAATTACAGGAATTAAAGTAGTATCACCTAAGAATTTCAAATGCAAGAATGGTTTATTTTGTTTGAGATGTTCAGTTGTACCTCATTCAGGATTTTTATTTCCATTAGNACTATTTGTTTGAAATATTCATTTTATTCTATCAATTTAAGTTAAGGAAAGATAATATACAATATTATTAAAGAACTAATGTAGATACTTCAATTTTCTTAATTGTTCAACTTTTTAGTATTTAAAATATATTTTATATATATTTTTAATTACATAATGACATTTAGAAATATGTTAAAATTTCTTAAATAATAAGTGATGAATATCTCTATCAATAGACAATCTTAAATGTATAAATATCTATGATTAAAAGTTATAATATAAATTATATTTTGGAATTTAAAAATTATAAAAATTATTAGCCAAATATTAGAATACTTACACATAATCAAAAACAAAAAGTTACTAGGTTCAATAAATAAATATTCATGGCAGATTAATCTATTAAAGGAACTAATTGGGGTAGAGTTATTATAGATGATAAGAATTTGAGTTTATCTCATCTATCTCAAAATGTCATTAAATTCCCTCTTAAGAGAATTACTAATTCTAATATTTAAAAGAATGATATTGTATTGTAATTAAGTACTGAGGAATGTGCAGAAAAGTATAAGGTTTCTAATTATTCTTTATTAGTGAAGATATGTTATGTGAAGTCAGATTTTATATTCCTCCAAGAGAACAAGTATATTTATAATATTTAAATATTAGAAAACAGAAAAAAAGAAATAGGAATCAAATGAAGAAGAATAAGATGAAATATCATATCTATAATAAGTTTAAAATCAGATTGTCAAAAAAGCAAAAATTGGAGGTAGTAGTGATTCAATACTAACTATTCATGAAGTACCCTTAATTGTACCTAGAGGGAAATATACTATGGATTTCTTTAAAAAAGACATTCGATTTCATGGCAATACTTATTAATTTAATACTGATTATAAGAGTATTACTAGATTCTTTTTACTTCCTATGCCAGATGAAGTCAATCTTTCATTGGTTGTTGGTCTTGAAAATCCTATTAAATAGGGTCAAACTGCTTATAATTATATAGTAATGTAATTTAGGAAAGACTTAGAAATATAAATTGAGATGAAATATACAAGAGAATAATTAGATAATATTGGATGGAAAGGAATTAGATTAGAATATTCTGGTTCTATGTTTGATGTAGTATGTGATATTCTCTCAGAAATTACAGGAATTAAAGTAGTATCACCTAAGAATTTCAAATGCAAGAATGGTTTATTTTGTTTGAGATGTTCAGTTGTACCTCATTCAGGATTTTTATTTCCATTAGAGAAATCATTACTTTATATTTAAAAACCAGTAATCTATATTAAACATGATGATATAAAAGAAATTATATTTCAAAGAGTAATTATATATATATATAATTGTATATTAGATTACACAGACAACTTAGAATAAATTCTTTGATATTAAAATTGTTACTCAGAATACATCTCATTTATTCTCTACAATTGATAGAGAAGAATTGGATAATTTATCATAATATTTTAATTCCAAAAAATTAGAAGTGAAAAAAATTCAAGAAGAAAATGAAGGAATCAAAAATGGTAAAGAAGATAATGAGGATGGCAGTTAAAATGGAAATGATCATAAAATAACTTTATCTTAAATGGATTCTGATGAAGATGATGAAGATTTTTAAGCATAAGAAGATTCATATAATAGTGTTTAATTTTAATAAAAAGTTTAAAAAACAACAAGAAATGTTAAAAAATGAAAATAATAATATTTAATAAATAAAAATTAATCTATTTTTATAAATATTTATATATATATTATTATTTTTTATATCTATTCAAATCAAATTTGACTATATTATAAGACATATATAATAATTATTCTAATGTAAATTATAAAACTAATAAATCATATAAAATAAAAGCAAAAAAATATTTAATCTCAAGAATTCAATTTTGCTTGAAGAGATTAGTTGTATAAATTTCTTATTTTCAAATTACTATCATAATTAGATGATTTTGTTTTAAATGATAAATAATCTGCAGTAGAAGGTATTTCAATTGAGTATTTTTATTAAGGACTTAAACTCTGCAATCTCATATTAATATATTATTATATTGGTCTAATTTTTTATGTTTATTTGCTTGTATTACTTTCTGTTGTTTTAATTTAACTTATCTTTTTCTATTATTCTTTTTATTCTGATCTTAAGTATGCTTTTAATTATTTTGCATTTGTAAATCCTCCTGATTACTTACGAATTCGAATATTTTAACTTATTTTATTAATTACACAATTCTTTTATACTTTCTCTTAATGAGCAACTTATTTATAATAAAAATTATTATATACCTAATACTATATAGCAATCTAAACAAACTTACATTGTTTTATGTAAGAAACCATCAGAATTTTTATATTAATCAAAGTTTGTGTAATTTAACTTTTCATGAATCTTCTAAAATACCAAAGGAACCTATGTTATAGTATTTAATAATGCTTATGTTCCAGCATTAGCTCCTGCAACTTTAACTGTTTTAGCTTCTTTTTTAATTTCATTTGGCCATTAATCAGCTGGCAGACTTTCTTCATTTTAATCTAAAAGATAATGATATGGAATATCAATAAAATTATTCTCTTTATCTATGTTACCACATTTAATGCATTTAGATTCTTTATTTAATTACAATGGTCTTTGACTATAAACTGACATAATACCATCTACTGATTTTGGTATTTAAATTTAAGATTGTGTATATAAATCTTTTGGATAATTCTTATAATGTTTATCATCATCAAATTTTAGACTTCCACAAAAAAGAAACCAACATTTTGCTTATTTATCAACTTTAAAATAAAAAGTTCCTTAACTTATATTTAATTTTCCAAATGATATTGCATCTAAATGATTAATCATCTTTTCTATCTATTCAGATATTCTTTAAGATTAGAAATCTTTTACTTAAGCTAAGTTTTAAATAGAATGATTAAATCTTACTTGCTTCACTTAAATATTCAGGTCCTTCAAATGTGCAAAGTCTCTCATAAATATTCATTGATTTATTCAAATAACTTTTCTTTGTCACTCTCTTTGTAAAGAGTGTAACTGATTTACTCCAAAATGCCTAAATTTATGCTGATTTTAATTTGATGTATACAATTTTTGTCATCTGCTGCCTCAACGAATCGTTAGAGTATACCAAATGGAAGCTCCAAATTAGAATTCATAAAGTTTTCGAAACCTTTTTCATCAAAGTATACAATCTAGATTTAACCACTTATTTTTAATTTCTCAGGAGGATAATTCAAGTCTAAATTCTCTCTTGAAAATGTAATTTATCTTATTTATACATAAAATGCAATAGATATCCTACTACTCCTGATCTTCCAACCTAATTCAACCAAGTTTCTTTTATATTTTCTTTTGTAACGTTTTTCCTCATCTTTTTCTTAACTTCTCCTGTCTCTTTATCTGTAAAATACCAATATATTGGCATTGATCTAATCAAAATTACAGTGTCTGGTATTAATACAGAAGGTGGACTTGATGTCTCAGATTTAACCCAAAGATATTGATATATTTTATCATAAAGTATATGTTCTTGCACACTTTCACTAGTATACATAATAATTATTAAAATTAATATTTGTTAATCAAATGGATTCACATAATGAAACAAAGTACAAAGAATTAAAAAAGAAATATGCCATTCTTATGAAAGTACACATCATTATATATTGGAATAGCAATATTAAATGATTTAATAAGAATATGAAAAAGTAAATAGTGAATTAGCAGAATCTATCTAAGAGAAAAGGATTCTTCAAAATAGAATTAATGAAATATTAGGAAAGCAAAGTGAGGACAATTGAGTATTATAATATCACTAATATTATATGAATTGAAATTCTTACTTAAACTATTGAAAATCCTATTAAAATTTTAATTCAATTTTTTAATGCTATTATAATAACAAAGAAAAAAAATTCAACCTTCTTTTGTTGCTTTTTATGAATTTAAAATTTAGGAAATTTAAAGTTATCCTTCCTAAAGAGTAATCATTACAGAATAGAACATAAAAAATTATGCAAATTTGAGAATTGGAACATACAGTCCTATTAGTTGTAAAAGTAGTAGAATCAAAACTCAACCACAAGTAAAAAAAGAAAAAATAATTCCATTTGAACATGATTATAATACTTTTTATAGAACAGTGTCTAGCTAAAGAAATCTTTTAAATATAATAAGTGGAAAAAAAAAATGATTTTATTATTAATTTCCACTTTTAAAAAATATCTTTAAACTTATATTCACATCCTTTTTTAAGTTCATAAAATTTGTGTTATTCAAATTGTCATATCACAAATTTAAATTACTTAATAAAGTCAAATTATATTAGAATATCAAATATATTAAGACAAAAGTGTGTTACTAATATGAGAACATTGTCAATACTAAATGAAGAATAAAATGATTATATATATATAATAATTAGAACTAAGGGTTCAGTAATATTTTAATTATATTGTGGTAATAAATGTCTATTTCAATAAAATATATTAATGGCAATTCAAATTATTAAAAAAAAAGACCAATACTATTTTTATCTCATAAAATTAACAACTTTAGATGGAATATACTTACAATATATTATTTAAATATAGTATATATTTTTATTTTTGGGTAATAATGTTTTACTGATGTTTTCACACATATAATTAATCAATATAAAAATAAAAATTATTTGTAATTCCTTTTATAATATTAATTTAGATAGTTATAAAAATTAAATGGAGCCTAAGCCTTCAATGTTTTAGGAATTTTAATAAGATGATAAACAATAATTCTTAGATGTATAAATAATCTTAGTATTTTAACTTATCCATTACTTATATTTCAGCTACCGAACTTATAAAAAATAATCATCTTTTTTTAATCAAATAGGTATTCTTAACAATTATTCATATAGGACCTACAATGATATTAAAGTCTTGTCTTTTATTATCATTTTATATAGTATTTAAGAAAATTAAATATTCTTCTAATGAATTCATATTAGGACATTTGATTATTGGAGTAAT